GACATAGTTATCTCAATTTTTGTTTTTTTCTTGACAATTTAGTAATTGATTCGTTGGAAGTCAAAGGGTAATATCCGGGCGGCCCACCCGAGTTTGCGATAACGCAATTATGCATATTAATGCTGAACGCTCGAATTATCTCGGTCCCTCGATAACGTGGATTTTTATGGTTTCTCCGGTCAGGTGTGAAGCAGAGGTGAACCGATGGCATTGCTCATCAGTCTGAAGTCGCTGCACAAGATTTCCCCCGAAACATGAAAAAAAAATCTGAAAAAAGACAAAACAAAACAAACAAAAATAAAACAACAAACCACAAAAATAAATCAGGAAAAACAAGTGGGTTAATGTCCCTATGCATCCTAGTCTATATTGCATGCACTGAAATCATTGGAGGAATGTAAATAATTGATATTATTATCCTATCCCTCAGGTGTGATCGTTTTTTCCTCGATTTGTTTGACATTAGCATTGCAAAATGCATTCCATGAATAAAATCTATAACAATATATTCAATATCCTTTTCCTGCATGTTTTTACATTCTAGAATGGAAGTATATACGTAATAAATTGAGTTCAGTTGATAAAATGTAATGTAAAAAATGAAATTTAAACAAGATACAATACAATAATTTCATTTTTTTGATTATTAACATATTGTATATTAATGTTTTCAATTTTTTATTCATGTAGAACATTTTTCTAATTTTATGAAAATGTTTAATTAAGAGATACAAAAAAATTTTATATAGATACTATAAGTATGAAAAAAATGATTTTCACAAGCGAAGCTATGCGGCGAAAAATTATGACACTCTTCATTTCACCTGAATAATTTTGCAATAACCTGTTGTAACATCTGAGATGACAATGACTCAGTCTGTTCTAAAAATCATCAATTTTATATAATTAAATTTAATATTTTTTTCCAAAAACCGAAATGGTCTAATTTTGCATTTTTTTTTAATTTGCAAATCATGGGATTGCTCTAGGATTCGGCGGGATAATTTGATCCTGAGGGATAGATTTTCCATTTTCAAATAAAAATGGTGGATTTGAAAGTGGAAAAAAAACGTAAATTACTAGTTGGAAAAGTAAATACAGCCCTGGTAATCCGATGAATAGGAGATCCGAAGATTTTCGTCGGGGTAAACTGGTACCATTGGGAGCCTCCTCTGGCACGGCGCGTTAAGGCCCCTCTTCTCATTCCCCGATTTTGCTCTTTTATGGTCTCTCTCCTACGTTCCAACCACATGAAATATGCCTTCCACTGGACGTTACGAATGCGCGTTGAATAGATCCGAGATTTCGTGCCTCGACACACTGAACAGAACACAACAAGACTCGATTCTCTCCTTCAAAAACCTCTCGGCTTTATTTTCCTTTGTAGCTTTTTCTCGTTCTCATTTTTTTTTCCCTCATTATTTTGTCCTGTTCTCGGATCCTTTGTGTGACGCCTGAGGCTCCAGTAACAACAATATTGAAAAATATTAGTTGGCACTCTTATTTCATTTATTTGATTTTTTTTCGTAAAACAATTTCGTGAAAAATGTTCTCAAGACGCTATTTCATTTTTTTTCCATATTTCAGCTTTACAGAAATTTCCAGGTTTGTCACGATTCAAAATTGTCTGGTACAGTTAAATATGTAATTACTTAATGGTTATTTTTTGAAAAATTCATGTAAAATTTTAGCACCAAAAATTTGAGCGGCACATTGAACTAAAAATTTCGTTAATTTTTATAAAATCACTACAACTTATGAGTGACTTCATCAAAATGATTCATTTTTTGTTGAATTTTTATCCCTATTTAGAACTGATTCAATATGGGATATTTCATAGGAAAAAATTTCTAGATTTCGATTTTTCTATATCAATATTCTCGTGGAATTTTGTCTGACTATAAATTCCACGACTTTTTTTCCTGATGCTGTAATACAAAACAAACGCAAAAACTTCTGAGTTTTTCTTGTCGAATGTTACGAGAATTAGCATATGAAACGTCTGAAGTTCCGAAGATAATGATGAATTATATAACACATAATATTTTTAGAATTAGAATTTCATGATAAACGGAGAATTTTCCAACGAAACTGCGTCGCGAAAAATCGGATTGTCCTGAGAAATTCTATTTCTCCTAAACCAAATCCAATGCCAATCTCTCAAAAGTCATCATGACTAGCCAACAGTGAGATAACACTTGATTTTTTCTTCTCACGGTATAGACGATGATTCTGAAAAAATCATATTAGAGACTTGTATAGCACGAGGTTCCACACGATTCAACGAGGTTCCGATATAAATAATCATCGATCATAGAGGTAATCCATATCCGGCTTAACATTGTCGTGAGGACTTGGCCATTAAATCCTGATTAACTGTCCCGCAGCGAGGCTTTTTGTCGAAAAGTAAGGGATCGACGCGCCCAGGATACCTGGAGGTGTCTGGAGGCGACCGTGGCGGCCAAGAGGGCGGAGGAGATTCAGAGGTGCGAATGATTGCCTCACGTAGTCAGATGGCTCTTCTCATTTCAAAAGAACTATAATACCTTGATCAATTGTGTCTAGACCCTCCGTCCACTCCGACATTATTCAAAATAAAATGGAAAAACCATTTTTAATTAAACCCCTTTGTCCTCTGACCCCCTTGTCCAATCTGGAATATCTGCAATTTGTGCATTTGGAAGTGTCGTGTCAATTCCGAGCGCATGAAAATGCAAATTTAGCGAGCGAATGAGCGATCGGGGATTTTAAATGCTCACCTCGTCACGGATAATACAAGTTGTGACCATTGTACAAATTACTTCTGGTTGTGTGCCGCCAAGAGTTCTTAAAAGACCCCGGGGTTAATTTCAAGCTGGCCAATAAATTACCACTCACGGATACCTGAATACCCCTACAACCCAATTCCAAAAACTCCTTTTATAAAAAAAAAAAACTGGTAATGAATCTTTTAATTATCCAATCTCAATTTATCTCATGTTGTTGTTCAAACGATAAAACGTAAATCTTGAAATATCCCATGTTGGATATCGAGGTTTTCCCCGAGTTCAAAATTCACTCTTCCAAAGTTTTTATATTTCCGGATTTAGGAAATATTTATTTCTTTGTTGCTGTGGGACCTTTCGTTCATGTTATAACAAAAGAGGGGAAAGTCCTGGAGGGAATTCCTCGGTGCGAGTTTTTCCCAAAATACATCTGGTGACCAGAGAGGGTCAAGACAGAAAAAAGTAAGGGTAGAAGGAGAAATTATATTGCCCTCTGGAAAGGAGCTTAACCTGGGCCTCACAAGTAATGTATTAGTTCGTTGTAAGTGTTCGTTCCGAAAAGTATCCCTTGACTGTCTAGACTCATAATTTTTAATAATAATTCCCAGTCTTCAGAATACTTTAAGTGTTTGTTTATTTCGATCTCCATAACCCAATACCTTAAATTGGCTGAAGTCGTATTATTTCAAATGTGAAAAACATTTCTACCATAAAATTTCTTTATATATTATATCATTTGTTTGGCAATTTTGAAAAATGGATTTTTCGATCCGCTTGTCATGTTTCAAAAAAGGAACATCTTGGGGGAAAGTCCTTCACTTGAAGCTTTAAAATTTATAGAACGTATTATGTTTCGAACTGCATAAGGGTTCACGTTACTGCCGGGCCCCTCAAAATTCCCCGTACTCGGTGTTGAAAAAATAAAAACCCGACATCGAGAGCGGAAAAAAATATCGCTGAAACACCTCTCATGCTGATTTGGGGTTTAAAAACGCTTTAAATGTTCCACTCAATTTAATCTAAACTGAGGATCATGTTGACGCCTAGTTCACTGGTAAATCCGACGACTGCACGAGTAATGCGTGCAAAAGCAGCGAATGAATTCTAAACATATCCATTTTCGATTATTTCCTTTTCTGGTTTCTATAAATAATATAGACACTCGTCAACACGAATCAAGATAATCATCTCCCCCTCGACGACATCGAGACCCAGTAGTTGTCGAATGAGGACTTATTAACGACAATATCGATGATAGCCATTACATTCCTATAAACAAAAAAATTCTAAATTATCTATGACTGCTAAAAAATGCTTAATGATTTTTTCCGCACTTCAGGTATAATGAAGTGGTTGCATTGTCTTCCCCATTAATGATAACAATTTATCGATAGAACTCATCTCCAGTTGATTACCAGCATCAGGGATTTCTTTCCAGCAATCAATTGCTGTGATGACAGCAGGCGTGAGGATAATGACAAACACTTTTGTCCTAGATGTGAGCAGTACCTGGAAAGTCATTGTACGAATCCCATGACCCATTTCCATTTTCCTTCAGCTTCAGTAATTAAAATATTTTCCATTAATTTCGGAGGTCAATCAGCGGCGCCACCAGACCGACTGTCACCCTTCATTTAATCTCCCAGATTACATTCATCATTTTTTTTTCTGTCTCGCACACTTCAAGCAGATTTCGTTTCCCACGAAACTGTCGATCATCTCTAAAAATATAAAATGATGTTGCAATTCGAATTACAAATTCCTATTGAATTTTCATAATCCTCACATAACATCAGCGTCGAGGAATAAAAAGCCCCAGATTTTCGAATTGAAACCTCGGAAAATGTAGAAGTCAGAGGTAACCCCATCTACCCCCTCGGAGAAGTGAGTCGGTAAGCCCCAACCCCTTGAACGCATGCGTTCACCCTACGCATGCTCATTCAACCCCAATCGGCAAAAGTTTCTCAATACTCGTCTCCGCAACCTCAGCGAGAGTATTCGGAGGAAAAAACAGAATCCTTATAATATAAATAAGAAACGGAAAGAAAAGGGGCATCTCGGCTCCGACCGACTGCCGCCGCTCGTCGGTTAGCTGGCGTCGGACAACGTTAGGGTACAAGTCGCCCAGTGTGTTAAGAAGAATAAACGAAAAAGTAAAAAACAAGTATATCGAGAAGAGAGGCGAAGGATCGTCGCGGCACGGTGGCGCCCGCAGGGCACCGACTCACTCTAAACCACCATAGCTGACGCCCCCGTCCGCCTCTCATTCATCCCTCTCCTCCTTCATGTGCTTACCTCAGCCTGTCTCCGTTACTTACCCTCCAGTCCTTCGTCTTCATATTCCGTCTCATATTCCCTCGTAGCCCCACCATACTTACCATTCCTCTTCACTCCTCTTGACTCCTTCTCTTCTCTCGTGGTCCGTCGCACAATCCATTCCGATCTCATCCGAACCCTACCCCCACTCTATCTATCTCAGCCACGAAATCCCCACTCCTCATCGCCGGAAACACCCGAGGTGAAAGGTTTGAGGTTCAGAAGGCACTACTCCTCGTCGCTTTAACCACTACGTCACAGTGAAGTATGTGTTCTCGAGTGTAGAAAATGGCTGCTGCGCTCACCGTAAAAACGGGAAGGCGCCAATGTAAATACGGCCTGGTATGGCTCAGTGTTTTTTTTATCGTCGCGAGAAATATTGGGGGTGAGTAAAATTGCACTTTATTTTCACTTCCTTGGTACTTTTAGGAAGCAAGGGCGCAGGGATAGACAAAACTTAAGGGAGTTCCGGTGATTTTTTTCTGGAGGCAGGAGAGAATGGGAAATGTATGGGGGGAGGGGACGATTCTGCACATGTGATTAGGTATCAGTGAGAAATTAAATCGAGTGTGAATCCTGTGACAGGGCTGGCACTTTTTATGGGGTAACACATGCGTTCTTGTCGCATTCGGGGGCGATTGAATTTTTCGAGGGGTTAGGGGTTGACCTCAAGTTTGAGCAATTGTCAGGCCAAATTGTCGTTTTTTTTTCTAATTCCAGAAAGAAAGGGGGAGTCCTTTGAAGGAATTTTGAGGTTAAACTGTTGGAGAGGTTGAAAAGGGTCCTCAAGGATTAAGGGTAATTAGGGTTAGGAGAGGGGAGTAGCAGCTCTCCATCTAAATAGGATTTAATAAACCATTTAAACATACGTAATTCCTGCGAGGTTTTTTTTTTCTCGGAAATTCCAGAGTGCAGCATCACCGGTGATAAATCTCGAGGTCTGAACGATAAAAATATCGAGGGAATTCGAAAACAATTTTCATTTTATTTTTACAAGTTGTTCTAGTTTTAGTGGAAATTTTCGATAATAAATTGTTGCGGATTTAGGGTTCAAAGGGAAATGGACGAGCAGTCACTCTTCACGTGTCTGAGGCACTTGAGAAGTTTTTGTTGGATGAAGAAAAAAAATTGACAAGCATGTGTAAATATGCAGATGGAGCACATTTGATTATTTTTTAGCGAAAAAAACGAATTAAATTAATGAAGAATTGATGTATTAGAACTTTCAGTAAAATTAAGTAATTTTTAAATGCGGAAAAAAGACATGAATATATCATTGCTGCTCGCATAATTTCTAGTATGTCATATTGACACTGGCAGGAACCAACACGCGATTCTCCACGAAATGCGTTTGCGTCTTGTCGTCTTACACTCATTAGCTGACTTGATCCAAATATTTACTCAATCGGATATCATCCTTCAATTCTTACAGCCGCTATTCTTTTCCAACAATCATCGTGTTGATATCGTCAGAACAAGTAAATTTAGACAGAGAAAAGGATAAGACCTTTTTTTAATTCACAAAATTGACTGAGCATTTTGAAAGGATCGGATCAAACTACTCTTACAGCATGAACCAATGATCTGGCACAATCAACTGTTTTTCAATCTCAAGAAATATGCAATTAAGGAGTCATCGATGCATTTTACAATCTATCGTGTTGTCTGAGTTGCTTCCATAATGTACGAACAGGTCTTACTTGATCGACATCGGTAGAAATTCCCCCCATTGGCGCGAGCAAAACCACTAACCGAGAAAGGGCTTTACCGATCGAACTTCAGTCACGTAGCCACAATTTTTATCTCATTTCAGTTTTTTTTTCATCCTTCAAAATTGATTTCCTCGTCAATCGTACGCATGAGATTTACTCTCGGCGCCAGTGATCGCGTGTCTCTCTCATAATAACATAAACATTGGAGAAAACCCTCATGGAATTTCCATCAGATCATTTTTATTTCAATTATAAACATTCTCCTATCGATTCCTGCATTTTTACACTTTTTCTGATTGCAAAAAGTGAACGGAAACGGCATTTTTCCCTACCGATTCAATTATAAAATTATATCACCGGCGATAAAGTCCTAATCGGACTATTAATAATTCTTTCAATATCTAAAAATAGAATTTATCGGTACCGATAAAAAACGATTTCGATATTCGAATGAAAAAGGTGGATAAATAAAAGGGCGAGATGGCAGAAATTTCGAAAGTAAAGATCAACGAAAAAGTCTTTGATTACTTGGAGCTTAATGATTCTGTTGACAATAATTTTTCCGATTTACTTTTTATAACGTCGTAAACGGACATTCTGCGGCCGGGTTTCGTCGTGGTAAATAAATGAAGGAATAATATGTGGAGGGTTATTACATCGCCCTCGATATTGCGATATAGCGACATCACCAGGTTATGCACTTTAGCTGGTGGTATTCCAGGAAAAGCCAGTGGGGTTACAAGGCACGCAGAGGGGTGTTTTCAGGTACTACTATTCATGGCGTTTTACCTTTCCATCGATTTGCACTTTTGCCAACTCGAGTCGAGTATGCCATGCAAGCAATCCATATAAATCTACTGTAAATTATTTTTCTCCTCATTCCATCAATCACGAAAAAAAACATAATTTTCTATTTTTACATTCACGCAATCATTGCCATTATCAATAAAATTATCTGTAATCATCGGAGTAATTTGATTTTGACCCCCAAATCACACGGTAAATCCGAGAGAAACCGTCGACGTTTCGTTGTAACCCGAGATAAATTCTCGGAACACATACTTGTACATAACGATAATAGCGTGCTTATTGTTAGAGTTCCGTAACGGACGCGGAACGCTAGAATATTTTCAAAACTGAGCGCGAGTGGAAGGCATTTAGGATCTTGTAGTAGGTCAATTCCTCATTTCCACATGGCAAATAGAAAACACTGATCATTGCAAATTTTAATTGTCCCGAAAAATTATTAATAGTTCTTGGAATTTATGATTTATTTCAAACATGATTTATCGATTCACCAGATATGGAGATGAGGATTGTTGAGACGAACCGGAAGAGCAACCCCCACGATTATCTGAACCTGTTCGCCGCACCCTGTGTCCTTTTTTATCACTAGTTCTGTGTCCGGATCACCGTAGGATGCCGGAGGGTCCGCCCACGTCGGATATTCCCGCAGCGAGCAATTACCCGGATAATTCTCACTTAATATTCTAATCCATTCGAGTCTCTCTAATTTCGTTATCACAGAGGGGATTCCCCGCACCGTCTATACGTGACCGGTGCGCATGCGTACTTCCCGCGCCATTCATAACCAAGAAATAAATCGATTTCTAATAAACCGATAACTATATAAGGAATATTTTTCAAAAAATCATGGAAATTTCGCAAAAATTTCGCATGTCTCAATATTTCCGCTTAATTAATCAGAAAATTACAATCAATATTATAATTCAACAAGATTGTTTTATTAGTTATTTCAAACATTCTCTCATTTAGAAATATACAAATAACATATTCCTTCGTTAGAAATCGACTATGGAGGTCGAATTGGTTAAATCGCTCAGCCAGGCGACGGGACCCGTGAGGCGCACGTTCGACCCCCGCTTAGGGCAATCGAATTTTTAATCTTTCGGAAACCGTCGAACTGAAGTAATATTATTCCCTGATGAAGCTGCATTGATGGACGCCATGCCGACCTAGATTTCCTTTGGTCACCAGAAGAGTCTGTTCATGGCATACAGCTCCTGGGGTGAATGCGAGACGGTTGGAGAGGAAGTTGGCCCGTAATGCCGCAAAAATACAATGTAAAAACCCAAATAGGCTATACATGGCAAGGGGAAAGACGTAAATACTCATTCGTTTGATTTTAAAACGATATCGTTTGATAAAAATATTTGTCATCGTGAGAATATTTTTCGCCTGGTTTCAAGCAGCTTAATGCTCAGTGCTCCTAAGGATTGTTAAAAAAATCATTCTAATGAAATTCCCAAAATTGGGCAAGTCAAATTACGTGTCACGTATAAAGAACCGTTCAGTCGCAAACTTCGCTCGTGGCAATGATTCGTTTATGTTCACTTAATTATTAAATGTATGATGAACTGACTAAGCCGATACTGACCCATGTAGACATGAAGCCCCTCTTTCGCATACGTTTATGTTTCAGCCCTTTTAAGCTTTATTTCCACGGAGAATGAGAACATAAATTAAAAGACAACAAAATCTGACATGCAATTTGTTTTTCAGTGGCAGGCATCACATGCTACTGCGACGGACACTGTCCGGATGATCGTCAGAATGGCACGTGTGAGGGTCGCCCCGGTGGCCACTGTTTCTCGGCTGTCGAGGAAGTATTTGACCGTGAACTCGGGGAGTGGGTGCCGGAGTTTTCATTCGGTTGTCTGCCACCCGACGAGCAAGGCTTCATGCAGTGCAAGGGCAACCTTGTGCCGCACCTAAGATCAAAAACGATCATTTGCTGCAACAATACGAACCTATGCAACAAGGACATCTTCCCAGAGTATACGCAGCGCCCGACCCCGGCGCCGGATCCAATTGCATTGGCCTCAGGGGCACCTCTGATTGTCCTCGCAGCGTGTCTCTCCATATGCCTTATCGTGTTCTCTATCGCTATGATCATCATCTATAGAAGGTATAGGAGGAAGGAGCGGGGTCCCTGTCTGGTACCATCGTCGGGAACTTTGAAGGACTTAATTGATCAGAGCAGTGGATCAGGATCAGGTCTTCCTCTTTTAGTCCAGAGAACAATTGCCAAGCAACTGGCGTTGTCCCAGTGCGTGGGAAAGGGTCGGTATGGAGAGGTGTGGCTAGCAAGGTGGAGAGGTGAAAAGGTAGCTGTAAAGGTATTCTTTACTCTGGAGGAGGCCTCTTGGTTCAGAGAGACAGAGATCTATCAGACTGTCCTCATGAGGCACGACAATATCCTCGGATTCATCGCTGCTGATATTAAGGGAACTGGCTCTTGGACCCAGATGCTGCTGATCACGGATTATCATGAGAGGGGTTCCCTTCATGATTATCTCCAGACGACTGTTCTTGATCAACCGAGCTTACTCGCTATTTGCCTGAGCATTGCCAGTGGAATTGCTCATCTCCATACTGAGATTTTTGGTACGAGAGGCAAGCCTGCTATTGCTCACAGAGATATCAAGAGCAGGAATATTCTGGTGAAGAGGAACGGAGAATGCGCTATTGCGGACTTTGGTCTGGCTGTTAGATTTATAAGGTGAGGAGAAGATTTAGGTTAAGAATGGGCGTCCTAGTCTCTCTAACTCACGGGCTTTAACATTTTGAGGAAAACTCGTTAGGGGACAGAAATAAGGGCCAATATCGTACAACTTGTTCTGTGGACAATTTTACTTCTTTGAAAATATTAATTGTGAATTGAGAGGACGTCTTTGGGCTAGTCGTCACGGTGCTGGCCCTATGACCAAAGCGTCCCGGTAGCGCAGGTTCGAGTCCCGATGGTGAAAAATTTTCCATCGTCGGAAAACGAACCCAGTGCCTGTGGAAATTAGTTATAAGGTAGCTAGATGAAAGCGCGGGTAGGGAATTAGGTTGGGGTATCGCGTAGGTACTGGGAAAGGGTTGGTAAAAGACCCACTAGGGTCATACCATCTGGCACCACCCATTTATCTTTATTAATTGTGAATTGTGAATATTCGTTCTAGTGAGAGCGGAGAAATAGATATTGCCCCCAACACGAGAGTTGGCACCAGGCGATACATGGCACCGGAGGTGCTAGACGAGAGCTTAAATACATCGTCATTTGATGCCTTCAAAATGGCAGATATGTATTCGGTGGGGCTAGTTCTGTGGGAGATCTGCAGGAGGTGCGTTACCGGGGGACGAGTCTCAACCGCTGAGCCCTATGCCTTGCCCTACCACGATGTGGTCCCGAGTGATCCTGATTTCGAGGACATGAGATTGGCTGTGTGTGTCAAGAGGTTACGACCTGTTGTACCTATCAGATGGGAAAATGATCCAGTAAGTATCACAAAATTATCCCTCGATGTTATAACGAGGGGAACCCCCTATTTATTCTCTTCTCCAATAGAGAAATATTGTAATAAAAATTCGAGAAGTAAATCCTATGTAAAAGAGAGATGGATATTCATATCAAATCGAATCGAAACCCGAAAGTTGAAGCCTAAAATCGGTCACTTTCATTCCTCACTGTTAATTCATTGGTCATGACTTATACTCATTTCTACTCATACTTCATCTTTCGTCGGCGCGCATGTACTGTCCTGTATAGTGAACAAGAAATTTCTCATGGAGCATATACATGTGCATTCGGAGTCTCATAAATTAAATTACAGAATTTTAATTATTGAATTGCATTTCATTACATTGTAGAGAATAAAAGAAAGAAAACGTCATATTGATGCCTTATCACCAGTTGATAATGAAAAATTTAATTTTCAGATTCTCTTCGCCTTGAGTAAAATAATGACTGAATGCTGGCACGGTAATCCAGCAGTTCGTCTGACAGCCTTGCGAGTGAAGAAGTCAATGTCAAAGCTACATATTGACAATGCCATCAAAATAGTTTAGTCCTCGACGATAGAAAATCCATCAATTATCATTAATTCTTACTACTGTACATAATTCCTGAGAGATAATTTTTCGGTCTGTTGAACACTCCCCGTGTAAATAGCCCCTCCTCGATTTCCCCGGTGTACATAAGGTTAATAACAGACTGCAGCCAGAAGAAGACTGAAGATTTATGAGAAAAAAAAATCCATAATAAAGGGAAAAAATAGGAATGAGTGATCTGAGATGTTGGGTGTGATAATAAGGCAATGGATATCATGAAATTGTTCTCTTTTGAATTGAGAAGACGATTGTAAATAAATAATTCGGTAGACGAGTGGTAAAAAAGGGTGTTAGGTGCTGAGTTATTTGAGGGGTGTGGAAATATCCGTTTCTACCAAGGAAATCTACATTGTTTTTGGATTTTTACCACTTGATGACTGAATTGAATTTCTAATTGAGAATTAAATTTTATTTTCTCAGTTTTGGGAACGAGAAAGTAATAGTTTGGCATATCTGTAAATGAATAATGAGAATGTGACGTGAAAATTAGAACAATTTTGGTTAATTGTTGCGAGATAATTACGATTGATTGAATTAACGGTCCGAGTTTTCCTTTCGAGCCTATAAATGCCAATTACTCGATTGGCAGTTGTTAATTATGTTAATAATTTTCTTCTTTCTTAACAAAGGAGAGAACCATCTTTTTGTATTTATAGACATAGAAAAATTGATTACGCTAAATTAATGAGCTCGACATGAATAGTGACATACACAATAGTTGAACAACGCATTGAAAATATGGACAAATCAATGAACGATGGATACTTGGAACCGAGAATAATCAAATTATATTTTTAACGAGTATTAAAGAATATAAATTTTTTCAAACAATTCGTGTCCTCATTTCAATCCCAATCTCCAAAAAAAACGATGAGTCTCCATCAAAATATTGCACAACAAATTCCTGTTAATAATTAAATATGCAATATCATTTACCATTTACTCAAAGCTTTCGACTAATAAGATCCTGAGATAGTACAGACGTTCGCAGTCACTGGTTTAACATCACTCGATACCCCAGTGCTCCATCATCACTGGACTTTGCAGATTATTGAGTAATTAAAATACACAAATTGACACACGGCATCCGTCTCTATTGGACACATGCTCTCTCATTCGGGTGCCATTTGTTAGCCGGCGGTCATCCGAGTATTGTGTTAAACACGAAATTGTATGGCCTCCGACGTTGTTCTCATGAATAAATCCCAGATGTCCATATGACTATTCAGTGTCGATCAATTGACAAAGAATCATTACACTCAAACTTACAGCTTTCGCGAAATTTCAATTGCAATTCAAGCTCCCGGCGTCTGCTCTTGTCTGATACATGTCGCGCTGCCATTTTGTTGAGCTCAAACAAAAACAGCTGCGCGCGAACCTCATTGGCAAGCTTCGAAAAATAAACGGTCTCGCAAAACACGGACAATGCATTGAGAAAAAGAATTATTTACGGGAAGTAAATTTTGTGACGACGTAATTGTCGAGAATGACTCCATAAGATAGTTTAAATTCGTGTCGGAAATAATTTCATTTAATATTAATTTACATAAAAAAAATCATTGACTTCAGAAGAAAATATGAAAAACTCCTTTTGACGAACATTTTAGTAACTTAAAAAAGTTAAGGAGTTTCTATCGTAAGTCGATAATTTCCCCAATCGATCGATACTAAGGCATTCTTTGAATTCAATTTGTATTACTTTGATTTTTATCGATTTTTTAAAACTTAGATTAGTCAATTCGTGCTTAATGATTGATTTATCCCGAACAACCGTAGAAATAGATTGAGATAATACAATTTTACCTTTACAATTTCCAACTTCTAATGATAAAAACCAATAAAATTATCCAATGATCAAACGGTCATCTTTATTTTCGTAATTCAATCATTAATATCTTCTCATTATAACTAATCAGATGGAATTTTTATTATAAATTTGTTTCGCGTACCGGAAATTGGTAAATACCGAGTATTTTTAAATTTCATTCTGAAACGGTCGTTTGAATTTATTCTGGTCACGTGTTACATGTTGTGGTGTTCATAACCTCGAATAAAGTTTGAAATACTCTCTGATGGAGAAACTGAGGTAATTACGGATTTAGAGGTGATTTTTAATCGTTTCGAGGAGATAGAATGGAAGGAGAATCAAGTGATTGCTCGGTGACGTGTGATAATGATCCCACGGACAAGGATTTTGAAATGAATGAGTTTAAAACCCAAAGTGGAGAGTCTGATGATGACAACAGTCAACACGTGAGTAAAAATTAAGGGTTATAGAAGATTTATTAAATTACGTGTTGTTTCCAGGGCTTAGGGTGCACTCGAGCATTGTGGAAGTTTTTTTTGGAGAAAGTAAGGTTTAATAAAGTTTTTATCTTCTTTCAGGAAAAGGTGGAGGGAGAGAATGCCGAGGAAGACGACGAGGAGAACGAAACAGTTTATCCCGGAGGGCACAAATTAAATAAAAAATATACCTGCATTCGGTATCCTGGGAATGTTATTAATGTAGACAAGGCTATGGAGACACTTGGAGGGCTCTCGGGTATTTCCACCGTGAGCAATTGCCCTCATAAATAATGAAGAACTGAGTGATTTCTAGGATTCTTCGCATTTCTCTCGTTTCTTGGCAATAAGTCGATGGCAAGAGAAAGGGAAAGAATCAAAAGGAACTCTTTATAGAAAATTTCAAGACATTGTAAAATCAATGATTTTTTAGATATTTTTGGGAATGCTTATGATAAATTTCCTATATTGCTTCCAGTTTTCTTTGTTTCTTTTTTTAAAATAATTTAATCATATAATAATAGAACTTTAGCGAACGTTTTTTTTACTGGGCATTTCGAGATGTGTCGATGTGTAGTAAAGTTCTCAGGATTTTTTTTCCTGGCACAAATCGTTTCTACGTTATTAAAAAAAATACTCATCATCACACTGGATTTACTTTCTCTATAGTAAATACGTATATTTTCAACATAAAAAATATGTTTCAGGCAGTGACAACATCGAACCGACGCCTGGAGCTTCGATTCCGTCCTTCAGATGGGTTTTGTAAGCCAGCCTGTGGGGATCGCCACCAGGTTTCAGGTTTTCTCCTGAGAATTCGCGTGAAAAAATCAAGAGTTGATAATGTAACGGGGGAAAATCAGGAGAAAGCTTCTCAAGCCTGGAGAAACCACGCATCAGCGATGCCCAAGGACATCACGAGGCTCGAGGATTCAATTGAAGACATCACAAAGGACCTTCGGAGCTCCTCCATTGATCCCGGAGAATCCAATCCTAGAAATAACTGTAGGATTGATAAATCCAAATACGAGGATCTCTCTGGGAACCAAAATTACCGTCTCCCGAAGCTGAAGATTATGGGGAGAGTGGATACAGAGTTCAGGTTCACCAGTCTCTGTGACTTTCAGTACCTGCCAGTAGCCAGAAGTACGAGGGATTCTGGAAGGAACGAGTCTATCTATGAGAGCATTCATCCTGTAGGAATTCCTCCGTACAAGTGGTTGGAGAAGAAAGTTCCTTATTTTTTTCCACCGGCTGCTTTCAGCAGAATGGACAACGTTCAGCAGTTACCATTGAAGGCTGAGACCAAAGAACCTGGTGGGTATTCGAAATTAATGTCATATCTTTGGAAATTTTCTGACCACTTCATTTAGTTTCATTACATTTTCTTCGAAATTTATCCCTAGAAAAGAGTTTTACAAAAAGTTTCAGCCATATAGAAGAAAGCTTTCATACATATCATTTATAATCAATTAATGCAGGAATCCCGCATAGCAGCGCATACTTTTTCATTAGTTGACAATAAACATTGCCATTTTCACAGGTACAATTGGCTCAGCTAAGAGTTCTCTAGCAAAGTTCTACATAATTCAATCTAATTTCAGTAATACTGAGCAGTTTTCCAGGAATTAAATTTGAAAATTTGAATTGTTTTTTAAATTCATTCATCAATATTCTATTTGAGTCAATTTTACAGTATAATATGAAGTAAGATTATGCATACTTTATGCATCAGTATTCCAACTTTTTGCCCAAAATGATTGCGCCTAAAAATATGCGTAAAGTTTGCAAAATAATTTAAAAAATTGAAACTTAAAAAACAATTCTCCATGAATGTTAAGAAAATGCAATTGGATTTAAATTCAGGGCAAGAAAATATCATTGGAAAAACGAGAAAGCGTCGAGCGGGTCTAGCCAACTTCATTCACTTCGTGACCGCAACAATTCCTACGCACCCTCCCAAAGGTATCGAGATAGCGATGAAGGTGAAGTTTCTGAACGACAATCACCTGGAGACGATGAGAGCCCTCTTCGAGGAGAGGCCGATTTGGTCGAGGAATGCAATTCTCTACAAAACTAATTACACAAATGAACAATTAAAAATTCTGCTGCCATCGTACGCGTACTATTTTCTTAGTGGACCTTGGAGGATCATGTGGATTAAATTGGGATACGATCCGAGGAAAGATCCCACTGCGAGAAAATATCAGACCCTGGATTATCGACTCAAGTCAATGCACGGGCTCGAGCAGAATATCAAGGGTAAAAAACGCAATATGAGCTACAGTCTGCCTTACAAAGCTGCTAATCCTGCTAGACCCAAGCCTGCTGTCCTGGGGACTATGGAGCTGGAGGAGGAAGTGGCCAAGGAAGAGACCAAGAACGATAATGTTTACATTTACCGTGAGGGAACTATCCCACCGTCGAGGCAGATGTTTTATCAGGTAAATTTATTCTTATTGAAAAAATCATTGTCCACCTCATTCACTCGATATTTTCAGTCCTCAATGCTTCCCTCTCTTATATATAAATGACATGTATTCCATATAAAACTGACGAAGCTTTCAAAGCTCACGAAAGCAGGATTTGAATGGTTCAAGGTTCAAAACATGAAATAGGTATATCATCTTATCGTAGAGGTTTTCCATTCGGCCAAATTTTCAGTACCCGTGCCATTAAAAAGTGATGCATTTGGAAGCTTATTTTCTTTTCACGATAAAAACGTGTCGCGTCCATTCTCTGTGTTAAGGATATATATTGTGATTCTTGTAGTTCAAAACGAAACTTGTCAAATATTCCCAACTATCTGAACGCTTGAATAATAAGCTTTCAAATGATACGGATCATTGATGTATTTTCCATGTAAATGATTTCCCAAATACCAATTTATTTCAACAGTATTCGTCAATGAGAAAACTTGCACTTTCAAAAAATACATGACAATTATCAAAGATCAGGAAAGAAAATATAAATTAGACAGTTAAAATAAAAAAAAAGAATGATCAGTAACTATTTAACATCCTGCTACTTGTTAGAATTGCTTCAACAGATTAATCTTTTCGATGGGAGGGAACCGACTATATACTCACAGATAATAAAAATCGTCCCCTATAGCATGTGCGTTCCGCGCGCGCCTCTGATGTCACACTAGCAATTATAAATCCATTCGAAATACGAGTTGTCTGATGCCATACGTACGTAATTTTAACCCAATTTCAATTAACAACGTCCATTAAATTTTCCATTTATCTTGCGAATTCAAGAAATGTGTGTTTTTCGTGTTGAATGATAATCGAGTTTCCAATGAAGACCTGAGTTTACATGCTCATCGTGCAAATGTCATTTTAAATATAATAGAATTATCAATATATTGATTCAGGGAAATGATTGCCTGAATTTTCCTCACTTTCACGGTTTTTCAGTGTCAAATTGAATGTCATTGTGCCATTGTTGAAAATTTCATTTTTCCATTAGAAATGTCAAGGGTCATTTTCGAACAGTATATTAAAATTTGGAATCAAATGTGGGTTGCGGCGACCACCCGAATGGTTATAAAAACACGATGGAAAAAAGAGGAAAAATTATTGAAGGGCGGTAAATTATGAATAACCATCCGAGTGGTTACTGCAAGGCAAATTTGATCCTAAACTCTAATATATTTTAAGCTAACAAGATTGAATTTAAACAAAAGACCGCGTTTGATAAGTCATCCGGTAAATATCTAGTTCAGGTCCAACAAACCATTCTGGATGTTTTTTATTTGATTGGATCAGTTTCCGTCACCTAATTAAGGATTTGCTCACCTTTTTATCCGGAAACCATACATTTATCGATGATCTATCCAGGTCTTAATTTAGTAAAAAGTCACATGCATACAATATTATTATTTGTGTTTGAGAAGTAAAATTTCCTAATTTGAACCATTCCATTTCCAGTACTGCGATGTTTACTGCGAAGAAATACAGGCTATGCTAAATAAACTACCAGACCCATCACCAGGTAGCAAATGTCATGAGAAAAGAGGATGGCTTCCAAGTGGATTTGGGGACCAGTGCAGGGAGATAATAAATCGACAAGTGAAAACTCTTCTGAGAAAGAAAATGAACATTCCTGAAGACCGTGAGTGATTTGTGTATTTTCACTTGACATCGCTGGAGAAAATATAAAATAATTATATTTTTTCAGATCCAACAACTCTTCCCAGAAAACGAAGAAGCAGATTGAGCATGAAACTACCTTTCAGCAGAGGCGATAAACGACGAAAATTGGTGGCGAGCAAGACAATAGAAAAGAAACGATCCAGCAATTCCTCAAATGAATCTGACCCAGACTGGCAAGACACTTGATCAACGAAGCCACCAATAAACATTCGACACATTCAATTAATATATTATTCACGTCAACAGACCTAAACATGTCATTAAAGTAAAGAAAACCAGAGCTTCTTTTCAACTTTTAATAACGCTTAAGATATCAAAAATTGTGATTAATTTATTTAAAAATAGTCATCTGTAGTTATCGTATAATCTATAAAATTTATATGAAATTTATGTGGAAATTATTCTGTTTCAAATGAAAAACCAATTTTCTCAAAAGCAATGGTTTTCGAAAGGAAAGACCATTAATTTTTCTTGGCACTTTTCACAGAAAAAATTACAAACGAATTCCACGATTGGTGCTGGCAATGTAAGAGAGTAACTCCTGCGAGTCTTCGCAGACGAATGGCTTCTCGTGATAACAAGCAACATCGTGCCAAGCGATACCATCATTATAAACATTATTGAGTACAGATAGACAAGATTCGGTGGTGCCATTGATATCGAATTCGGCATTGTCGGGTTGACGTTGTTTTTTGTGTCCCGTTTGAGACCAGGGGTTGTAGCCCCATCCGGCTGGGGTCTGGTTAGTTGGCGCCATCTTCTCACGATTAGCTGACCAGAACCAACCGTAGAGGGACTTTGGCTCAAGATCGCGACGATTTTCGCAGCCTTTGAAATCGCAGAGACGGCCTGAGGTCCAGATGTAAGGCACGTCGTCTAGAAAATTCATAATTACCAATTAATTTATTTCTTATCACATGCGAAAATTAAGGCTTCACAATTCTTCACATCTTCGCAGTCTGATACAACCAATTTCATTTCTCCTGGAGGAGATAATCAATTGTAATTAAGTTTTAAAACTGCGAGGTGGACGACTATTTATCCGTCATCTTGTTGTCCAGAGAGGCTCCCAAGATGGCGGCGCTGGGTTGTATAGCCCACATCGTAGTTTCAATCGTTTGTTTTTTCGATTAATCTGTTTCTAAAAATTCGCAAATCGTTCCTTCGAACTTTCCAAACGTGAATATTCGCAGTTGAACAATTCTTTGGGGTTTCAATGGAATTTGTTCTGTCCCTGGCCTTGATTAATTCTTGGGTTGAACAAAACGGCAAATATTTTTGAATGTAAAAAAATAATTTACTTTGTTGAATAAGCTTGAAGATCATATTATTCTCATCCTGTGTCTCGATGGACACGAGGTCCATGCAGTACTCTCTGCAGATGTTTCGGGCGTCCAACCAGTCAACTTTAGCATTGGCATGAACGGGCACATGACTGCTCAGGAAGTAGTTGTGTCCTTTGTAATTGAACTCCTTCGGCCCTAAAAAATGGATTAGCCAATTAAAATAATAGATTCAATGATTGTCTGGAACGAATTAACAGTAAAATGCAAGGAATCACTTTACAACATCGAATTATCTATTAACGACAATTCATCAGCCCGTATAGGTCACAGGTCGTCAGCATGTTGAAATAGAAACCCATTCTCTCCGACTGGCCGTTTAAAAATGACCGTAGGAAAAAAAATAAATTACTCGAAAAACCATCTCGAGTAATTACTTAATTACTGTCTAATTAACGTCAGAAGTGTTTCAACAAAATTCATGACATCTCCATAAGAAAGTGCGGTCAATATAAATCAGAGACATTTGTCACTCAAAGAAGGATAAATGAATAAATGAATAAATTAAACAAATCGGCGGAGTTGCCTGAGAAAAATAAAGAAAAAAACTTGGAAACAACAGTAAGCATCGGTTACACACGGAGATATTCAACTCGAAAATGTCAACTGTCTTGTTTTTTACTTTTTTTTTCTTCTCAACTTATCGATGATTGCCACCGTGAGGAGATGTTCCATTGCGAAATTCTCCATCTCCATCATGCAAGCGTTGATAGCTGAAGAACTCGGTCGTAAGTTTATCCATGAAATTCTAAAAAATTCATGCACCAATAAAATAAATTCAAAAATGCACCAATTTTACTAGAAAATTCAATGGATTCTCTCTAAATGCTCAATCAAAAATATTCTGTAGGCAATGGAATTACATTTTTCTATTCAATTTATTCTACGCAGATATTTTATACTAACTTCTTTTTTCGTAAAAAAAATAAAAGAGCTAAAATTGATTAATTTGGGTGGACGAAATTCTGTAGAAAATATCTCAATAGAAGAAGTTGCTGGGCAAAATCAAATTCTAATGCCTTTTTGCAATTTCAATATTTTAGTAGAATCGTTTAAATATGATGTACAGTAACCAAAATTTCAATAGAATTGTTTAATGCATTCACTTAGTTTTTCTATGAAATTTTTCCATAAGTATTGTCTTTAACCAGAAAAATAATTTCGTAAAACAGCGAGAGTGACTGCAGAGTTCACAGAGATCCTTGTAGATCAGCGATAAAAAATCCCAGGCAAGCCTCAACAAAGAGATTAGAATCCCCTCATTGTATTCTTCGTTAATTTTCCATTAATCCCTCATTTTATGTACTTCCTTTTGTCTAAAAATTTCTGTCGACTTGGATTCTCTTCCGTTAATACTTGTGCGTTGGCGCAATCTCGAATAACAATGTCTGACCCAATCGACTAAATTGATCGTAAATTCACTCCTCAAATTCTTTCGACATTTCAACCCGAAAGAAAAACAAAACAGCAAAAATTCAGCTTCTCAACTATTCAACTATTCCAAAATTCTACAGGCACGGAAATATGTTTCGCCAGTGAGCAATTGGTCATCGTAAACTACCTCGCCAGGTAATAATCTTCACTATTACATTGTGAAATCTCTTTTTCAGAAAAAAAAAATTGGTTACACTGCAAAAAAGGTGAAATGAAATTGAAAAAAAATGCAAAATAAAATTATAATATACATTATATGCACTGCAATTATATTATTGGACTGTATCTGACATATACATGAGATATATATTTTTAGGGGCACAAATGCAATGTCATATATATGTCACATGTAATTATGAGCATATATTTTGGATGAGGATGTGAGAGAGATTGGTAATATCGGTGATTTGAATTTGAATTAATAAAAAGGACATTGTATTGAGTTTTATGTGGAACGATGAGAAGAGAAAAATGGATATTTTAAAGATCGAAGGGAAAGGTAATGCATGTAAGATCATTAGTGAAGTTGATTGCGGAGTCTGGGACGGTACATCCGTAACTCGGTGCCGTGAACAAAGTCGTAAGGTGAATTACGAAACAATTCTGGATGAGGACGTTTTAAAGAGACTGGGTAGCGCAAAAGGTACGAGAAGGAGTTGTACTGAGAGAACACTAAAACTCCCACGGCCTGTGAAAAATACTGGCTATCCATCAAGCGTTTCTCTCACGTTTTTATTAAATACCAGGTGAAATTACCATTTACCTATTCAACCAAAGCTTTTATCGACTCCTAACCAAATCCATAAAAGCAAAACCCGAGCTCTCCGAGTTCCGCCTTTTTAACAACGACCATGGATTCAACTGATTTATGACGAATTTAACAGCCTCCGCGACATCCCACAAATTTCTATTCCCGAAGCATCCGTAAACAATGTTAAAAACACCGAAAACCTGAAGAATTCGATGACGCAAAAGGTCAAGATTATTTACATTGAAAGTCGTTCCCCAAAGAGAAAAAAAAAAGGTAATGATAATCGTGACTAGTCATGTCTCCACAAAACCACACGATCCGTCATCCCAAAGGTTAAAATATTTACTATTTCCTCCGTTTCCATTTTTAATATATAAAAAAGCATTGAGAAACCAGGGGAATTCCACCTTGAAACAAAAAAATCCACGACAGTGAGAGAAATAAAAAGAAAAGAGCCAACGAATCTTTATGTGGACAGTTTTTAGAAAGTTTGTGATGCCTGGAGATGCGATTCACATTGGTAATTTTCGTAAGGCATAATGTGATAATAATTGTTACAAAATAATTGCACGAGGATGAATAAAGTCAAGGGAGATGGATAGGTCAAACGACCATAGAACTTTCACTCTTCAATTGGCCACCAACAAACAACCATTTTTTTACAGCGTAAATAATGATTTTACTACTTTCTTCTATTGTTTATTCACACTGACAAATAATTTCACAGCAGTAATATCTCCGTTCCCAATGTTTCATCGTTCCTTCAAATTCACGACGGTACATGAATTATTCATTAGAGCTCAGGTGTATTCAGGTTTCCTTAGTGTTAAGAGGCTCAAACAGTTGAGAGTTGAGAGATTTGTTTCGTAGGTCTTCTCATAATTAATAATTATTGATAGCTATTGTGATACAATTTTAACTCTATTTTTAGGCATTAATAAGTCTCATCTCTCAGACTGTTGAGGTTTCATAATAAAATTCAATTCAATTCATTCACCTTTTCAGGTGAGTGCACGAGATTTACGAGATTTATGTCTCAAAATCAATGAAGATTCCGTAGTGAATATTAAGGTGAGAGAGTGATTGGAGAAGTTATCACTCGAATGCATGAGACTTACTGAATTTATCAGTCTGAATTTGATTCGCGTTTACGAGAGCTATCAGACGTGAGCGGTTTTTACTCGAGTCGTTCTCATGTTTGATATTTTTTGATATGTCGTTGACGTTAACATTATCTATGAGACTTGTGAGACATATGAGACATTTTAGTACATTTGGAGCGTCTCAAAATCCATAGAAAAGAACAATTTTTTCTTTCTTTGACTGATCATTGGCTGTTTGGTTTTAATGATAAAACCTTAAACGCTTGAATCAACGGTTCAATCGGTTTCGTGTTATGGTAATACGGGTTACGTGAATATACATTGGATTCGCTTCGTGGTCTGAATTCAATGGGGGAAAGTGTTACAACACCAGGAGAATATTCTTGAGGCGCTTTCGATGGCATCTACCATCGGATTTGTTTGATTATTTTTCTGACCTTCAGCTGCTCAATGTCTCAAATGATTATCCATGCCACAACGTAATCCATCATTTTTCTTTACTTGTTGTAGATTCCAATCTTTTTATAATCAATGAGAATAAAAATAACCATTAACGTACGCGTACAACTGCATGGGGCACGTCGTGATTTTTTTTTTCACGTCTTCCAAGCTCATGACACCGATACGAAAGTGTGAAACTCCGGAGGCTAGTCTCGGCTTCTAATACTTGAATGGACTTGTTTCATCTCCAAAGGTGTCAGCTGAATAATTGAACGCGAGCTCAATTATTGTTGAGAATGTGTTGAATAAGTGGTTATTCAATAAAAAGGAGTGATTCTTTAATTTGATTGAAGAGATAAGGCTGAATAAAATTGTTACAAATAAAATGATTTTTTCGTTTCTATGGAATTGGGGAATTTTTGAAGACATACGTATCGTGAAGTATCATGAGAACTGTTAATAATTTTTGCTTTTATAGTTATAGTTATTAATGGATTGAGCAAGTTGAAAACTTACGATTGGCGCATTTTTGAGCAACAGGCAACGAGAGAAATCTTCCAGGACGATTGCTGTGGGGTCTAGCATCCTTAACAGCAGCTTGAACACAAGAGGCAACAGCCAGTACGACCACTAAGGCCAGCTTCATCTGAAACTCCAATTTTCAAACTAGAATCTCACCACGAGTTTTGAATAAATCACCACAATTGTGTTAGGAAAAGCCAGTCGAACTCACCTTGGTATTTAAAAAATCAACAAATTGAGGGAAAAAAACTGGTGAAAATAACAGAAAATAAAAATGATCTCTCGTCAGTCGAGAACACAAGAGAAAATCCACCCGAGGGAATAATGAGGCGAGGCTTTGGAGAACGTCTGGTTATATAGACGTGTCGTGGGGTACCTGGTGGTGGGGCAGAATGGGCAGCATCCATGGGGCCCCAATGGGCCGCCTCAGGGTAACAGGCGTCTGATGTCTTTGATGCGTATCAGAATGGAAAGAGAAAAAATGGTTTTCATTATTTCACAGATCCCAAACTGCAAGACTTTGGATAATTGCTACTTTATGGCTCTATAAACTCACTACTGGGCAGTTGAGCAATTTTTTTTCCAATAGAAAGGGTATCTGTCGATGGAAAAAAATATTTTTCATCGTCTAACGGCCTCAAAGTACTTGGATTAGTCGCTGTGCCGAGGATGTTTATCTCAAGGCTTTCAAAACCTGATTTCTTCGGTATTGATTCATCTCTCTGTGATAGTTGAGAAGTTTATCAGATGGGATCTTCGAGATCCCGGGACTGTGGTACCTGGCGCCGGACACGGCAACCAGGTGACATAACTCCAGGTGCAGACACCCTCACCACCAAATTATCAGAGAATTCCAGTTACTTTTTGTCTTTTGTCTTTGTCATCGGAAGAAAAATTATCCATGCCACGTGAATTCAATTGGGACAAGTGATTGGACAAATATTTACCAAAATCTTTTTCCGAAATTCCCATCAATAAATTCATCGACTGCTATCTTTCATCGATAGAAATAATTTTTTTTTGAGTTTCACGTCGAGGAAAAAATTATTAATATTCAGAAAACGTTGGTAATTGATAAATCAATAAATAATTAAGAATTTCGTGTGGAATGTTCATGTTTTCTCCGCTGTATTTTGTTTATTGTTGCACAACAGGATCAGAATTCTCCGAATTTTACATAAAAAATCCCAAAACAATATTCACATAAAAAAACTAGAAATCTATTAACTTTCTCCATTGTAGTATAATAATCCACTGACGATCAACACGAACAAATAAAACACATAAAAAATAAAAAAATCACTTGTTTTTATGAAAATTGAATAAAATCAGCCGAAAATCCGACTAGAATATAAACGGGGAATCATTAAAATTTGAATAAAATGCTCATAGAATTTCTATGGAGTTCCACCAGAAATTCACAAGAATTTCCAGAGAAATCTATAGCTTTTTGTTGTCATTTTTAAATCAAGACATTCTGAAAATGGTATTTTCCCTTGAGAGACATCTTCTCTGCACACCCTTACGAGAAAATAACCGAAGAATTTCATTAACTCATTCGACTTTGTCCATTCCCACAGGTGGAATCATCCTTGGAGAATTCAGAGCAGCCTCGCTTCATCCCTCATCCGCATAATTACTCAATGGGGTCAATGAGAGAACGAACATTCATTATTTCCTCCTGAGAATCATCATTTTGCATATCACTTTCACCTCCGCGACACATAGAATAAAAATTCATGAGAGTATCAGCTAATGTCAACAATTTAATCGCCTGGACAAATATCGTGAAATTTACCAAAAATCAGCACTAAACCATACTGCAAATAAATCATTTCAACAGTACGAATTCGTTAGTTTCGACAACCACTTGATTTATTTCTGAATTAATCAACATCTTCGCGTATTTATCGATTAAAAAGCCGGCTTGATTAAATCGATATTCAAAATGAGGCACGTGACGAATATTCATCCGTTGAGGCGCGTCGTCGACCTTGCAATACCCGCAAATCTCGTTTCTTCGTTTTCGCAATTATCTCAGCCCCCTTTTTCATCCGTCTTAAAAGGCAACATTGAATTACGCGCCTGGTATTTTCTCCGTGGGCCTTAATATTTGTTGAATTGATTTTCTCCTTATTCACCCTTAAACACAAAATAAAAATACAATACTATTCTAAGAAGTTATTGCTGATATCTTCTCATTTTTCAAGTTTTTTCCAAATTTCTGAGGAACGCTCGATAAAATTCACGCGAAAAATACTATATTACGTAACAAGTGCGTAATGGATTTCTTGGCTCGTCGGAGGGTTGTAACACGAGCCAATAGCGAGTCCCACGAGTCAATAATCCATAAGGCACGTGTTTCGTACACTATTTTATGTCATTGGGCCCGTAATCCGCGATTCACGCGAGAATCACGCGAAATCTACTGTTTTCAAGTTTTATTATGATTCAATGTCTCACGATGTTTCATTACTTTTGGCAGAATTTTTCTACGTTCTCACTGAACCTTTGCAAAAATTCACAAAACATTATCAAAAATGGAAATTTGTGAGTCATTGATTCGGGGCACCAATAAACAACGGCATTTTTTTCAGGACAATCTGATCCACGGTTTTCCAACAATTTATTTCAAAAACTTTAAGAATGAGAGAATATCGGCAATGGCTCCTTAATAATCGCCTTAAGGTAGTATTTCAGTATATCGAAGCAACGATGAGATTTTGATGAAAACTTATATACAGATAGATTTTAATGCAAAAATTACTCAGTTAAATTTTTAGAGGCCTGGATGAGCCAGAACATTAGTTATTAATTTTCTTATTTTTCAACGATGAACATTGAGTCTTACGACAGTTCACGATTGTTTTTTAGTTTAGAAAATTGCAACGATGAGTGTTTCATGAAATTTTTTTAGCTGTATGTACAGATGTTAAAGACCATTATGTGCGTTAAAAAATTTTGATCCATGGGCTATAAATGCTTAAATTAATTAATTAGATGTAAAATGAATTGATATGACAACGGCGCTATATAGGTTAGGTGAGCTGTCATTACAGGAACGCATCACGCAGGCGTACAAACCGTTTAGCAATATTATCATGCCTAGTTACCGCGCTAATCAAACTCATCAGTACCTCAGCTTGACTCATGATGTACTGGGAGTACTACCTTAACGTCACCGTATGTGTGGATTTATTTTTTTGAGCATTTATGCACACGTTTATTCGATCGAGCGATTTTGAGGAAAAATTGTTCTAGCTTGTGGCGCAACTCCAATTAAAAGGCGGGACCTCTCTTACTGGAAGAATCTTCTTTTCTCTACATAACTCGTGAGAAGCAGCAAAAAAAAATTGTCGAAAATTTTGAGACCAGATTTCCGTTCATATTTGGCGGAATGGCCCATATGCTAGTAATTATATGTGATATATACATATTGTATTTTGGCAAAAATATTTGTGCGTGTAATTAATATATATTTCCCGTAAATACCTTTTTCCATACGACCACGATAAACTAAGAAACTAAAAGTGAAATTTCACTTTCAATTTCTTCAATTATAGCCTACAGTGTAACACCCATTGGTGTTCTGCACGGAAAAACGTAGAAAAAATAAATATATAAAATGTATATAGGTATAGGTATTATATAACTTTTATATATAGTGGACTAATTCTGTATAAAAAATATATAGTTTTTCACTTTTATATAATAATTGTAAATTGTATATTACAGACGCATTTCAAAGTACGTTCGTCTACGTACTATTGACTGTAAATTGAATATATTGATAAGCACGTGGGGTTTAAATTAATAATGTTTAATTATTTAGATTGAGGTGTAATTAACATGTCAGGAGAAAGATAAAACAATAGAAAGAATGAATATATGAATCAGAGGAGGGATATTTAAAAAAGACAAAAGAAGAAGTCATTCCATTCACACACAAGGAGATTTTTTTATTTATAGTTATATTTAATATTCTAGTAATATTTAATTGGTATATAATATTTTATCATTTTTTTTACAGTGATGCAGTTGTAAATTGATGAAGTCATTAATTATTATTAATTATTAATCAGGGAACAGGAGACAGTTGAAGTTGTCGATGTGAATCAATATATAGATATCAGGTGAACCACAAAATATTAAAATAAAGATGATATATGTATAAATTTTCGAAAAGTGTACCGATAATTATATTAATAATGGAAGTTATGAATAGCCGCGCAAACCAAGACATCCAGGCCAGTCTCATCACCTCTCAGGTGAACAAATTAATCAGAAAAGGGGAAAAAATCTTGAAAAAGGGGAGATGATGAAAATAAAGTTGGCGAGCTATGAATAACAAAATTCAGGACATTGTCTTGGTATAAGCGATTCATAAGTAATCGATTTATCGCGAGAATAAGAGGTACATAAATCCCCCCTCCCCAGATGCAGACACATGTGATTATTGCCCAATCCCTCACACCCATCGCCTCGCACGTGATGATCGTGCAATCACCCTTCATTTTTCATTTAATTATGTAAAATAATTTGTGTATCAAATCCCCCTTTTATTAATTTTACACCGTCTTCTAGAAAGATTTCATGAAAAATTATTCCTTAGCAATTGACAATTGATGGAAAAATATATCCTTTAATTTCGAATTATTCAAAAACTTCGGGCAATTTTCCACTAGACATTATTATTTTTACTAGGGCTTTAACTAATTATTCCATAAAACGTGAAATTCTATATTTTTTCTGTGCTCTATAATTCCATTAATCATTTCTTTCCAAAATAAATAACAAACTATAATAAATATTTATTACAATAACAAACGAAAAAGGATAATGGTTTTGGGGCTGATAATTTTTAATAGGTTTTTTTTCAATTCCATTATAAGCATAAGACTGGGAAGTTATGTTGAAAATGGTAAGGAGAACCGAAAAAATTGGATTTTTTCGTTGGTTGAGTCGAACGGATTGTCGGCGATTATTCGTCGGGGTCGGGGGGAAATTGAGAGATTCATCAGGAACCTTGAGCCACATGATGGTATAAACGAGAAACCAGCGGTTGAAAACAGTCACGAGTTCTAACATTTTCTTGGGACGAGAAGAAGAAAAAAACGTGGCCACTGCTAAACCATCTTCGTAAGGTGATTCCGGAGTAATTACGGGTAGATTTTTTTTCTCAATTGAGGAATCCACTTTTTATTTCATGGAATTGCTGTCAAAAATAATCCAATACATATTCCATTGACGCTTCTATGTTGTATATCACATAATATGTACATTTAAAATTATAATTATTGTAATTACTCTATTATTGATTTTGTATGGGAAATATTTAAATTGTGACTAGATCATATTCACTGCGATTTATTTTAATACAAAAAGAAAATTGGGGATTTGAGTGTGCGAAAAATGTGGATTGTTTCTCAACAATCGATTTGTTATCAAAGATGCATTTTTGAACTGATAGTCAAATAATTCCTTTTTGTAATAATAAAAACCGTTACGAAGCTTAATGAGTTTCTTCTGACATATTAGGGGGTAGAAGGAAATATCCCGATTTAATGAGAATTTTATGTTAGGTACTTCCATGGCTCTGAGAATGATGTGCAAAATTTCAGGGGAGTTGCGAGCATCGTTAATTAATCAGGATTTTTTTTTATAATCGATCTTTAACCCGTAGTCTTATGGGAATCCACAAAAATCATCGCAGACCGATGAAACTTGGGGTATTCATAAATAATCCCCTTGCACATAAACAATATATTTTTGTCGGCCAATTAAATAAATAATTCAGCTTAAATATTGATGAAATTAGTGCGAATTAACAGTTAATGTAGTATGTCATAGTTGATGAAAATTGACATGCAGATAGACTTTAATACAAAAATCATGCAGTTAAATTTTTGGACGACTGGATGGGCCAGAACAATAGTTATTAATTTTCTTATTTTTTGACGATTAAGATTGAGTCTTATGGCAGTTGACGGTTTTATTTTAGTAGTAAAAATTCCAACTATGAGTTTTTCATGAAATTTTTTAAACGAGATGTTAAAGAATATTTTGCCAGTTAAAAAATTTTGATTCATGGGCTCTAAATATTGCAATTAATTAATTCAGTGTGAAATTAATCGACGTGGCAACAAGGCTACTCAGGTACCGGGAATACTACCTTAAGCATAATTTCTGCGTGCGCAACTGAAAATAACGACAACGTCTCATAAAACCTAGTGAAGGAGGATGAGAGCGCGTTCTTCCCCACGTGCCACAAATAAAGAAATACATTCCTTATTAAAAATAAATAAGCTAAAAGATGATATTATGACGCAAACAAAAGAATTTTTTTACAGAAAAACTCCAAAATATTAATATTTAAAAAAATACTTGTGGCATACGGGAGAGGCACCCATGGGCCAAATATAAATTACCGCAACAAATTATTATAGATGCAAATTCCCACTGGGACACCCTATGAAGAGGGAAACTATGTAAGTAGTTCTTCTATATAAAATAACAGACATCAAATTAGGTTTTTATTATATATTTTTACCTACCACGTAAATTAAAATCCGAATGTAAACCATATTATCGATAAAAACTTTAAAACTGATCATCAAATTTGAGTGAAGTCCAACCGACAGGGATCAAAAATTAACTTATAATAAATATATTTCTGTAAAACAGCAAATGTAAAATAAATATATCAATAAAGATTTCAAAAGTCAAAAAAGTGAGAGCGCGTTGAATTCAAATATGACTGATACTCGAAATCACATGAATTCATTTGGCTTTCCGAGATTTTTCATCGATTTAATAATAAACACAATGGTCAGTAAATAAACAATTGTGATATTTGGAAACATATGACTAAATAGTTCCTTTCCACCAAGGCAGGATGTTGGAACACACGTACGTGAAGTTAAGTAGTGGATAGTGTTTAAAAACAGTTTTTGAGATCAATACTGCAAGAATAATGTTCATTGCTGATTTTTATCTTACACCGATCAATGACAATTCATTTTTAATGACTAGTTTTTTATAGTTTTTCACTAATAATTTTTAATGTTGATGTAATCGACGAGCAAAGCGAAAGTAAACAATAACATTTGACGAATAGCCGAGTGTGCTATAGTGAGCCAATGATTTTTCTATATCTCTTGAAAATATCTGTGTATATATCGTAAATATCATTGAAGACAATCTCCTTAATTAATTAACCATAAATTCATTGATCGTAGAAAAAACTTTTGTTTTCGTTTTTTTATTAGAAGAATTACCAGTTTTCTCGGTATCTATTGGTACAGTACCTGAAAAATATATTTTAGTCTTTGAAAAACAGTCTTTTTAATCTTCACATAAAGTCAAAGCACAATTTAATCCATCCATTTTTCACGAAGTTAAAAACTCAACTTTGAAGTGATTAAATTCACCTTCATAATATTTTTCATAATATCCAAATATTTGAAGGAATTTTTAACGGTATAGTCTTTCAGTTGAGGTTTTTCGTTTTTTTTCATGAAAACGGCGAGATATAATAAATGTTTTTCAAAATTGCCATTTTTTTTGTATATTATATCGACAGCTGCTTCAATCTATTTTATCAACAACCGGAAACGGCATTTTCCTCACAACAGTCTTATCACCCGGCCTCCACTGAAATTAGTTCAACTGATGGTCATACTTCTTGTCAGGACATTATGATAAAATTGAAGGAAAAAAGAAGCCGACATCACCAGTATATATTTACACCTCCCGCTATTTAGTTGTGTCTTCCTTGAGAAAAAAATAATTTGTCCCAAGTAAATACAGTTGGAATCGCTGAATACCTGAAGTCTCAACATAAAATTCCCATTTAAATTCCTGTCTCACACGAATTTATTTGGCTCTAATAAATTTAATGGGCAGAGGAAATTCTTTTTTTTTATGTTTTCCCGAACCACAGTATTTCATCAATAGCCTTCAATAATTACAATGATTTATTTATGAAAATGAGAAATAGAAAATGTGTTTTTTTAATTAATGAAAATCCCTACCCTCCTCTTATAAGTATTAATTAATTGATTAATTCATCAGTTTTAAAAATCGCAATATCTTGCACGAATGTTATTTTCTCCTCAAAATTTCCAGTTCCAAATAATGAAAAATCCCTCGAAATTCGAGAAAAACAATAGTTAAACAAAATCCTACCTGCAAAATAACTCTCTGTCACGATTAATCAAATAATAATTTAAAAACCAATCACCAACTGTGTAAATAAATTCTTTTAATTTATTAACGTGTAATTAAACTCAAGGATAAGTAGTTGCTCATATGTTTACAACAAATGTTGTCTCAGGAAAATGTGAGTGACTATATGAAAATTAATAACAAACATGCTATAAAGAGGTAAAGAGTAACAACCCGAGAAATATCTTCGAGTCTTAAAGAAATAACAAAATTTTCCATAAGACCTCTGTTGAATAGTGAAAGAAGACTTCCAAGAAGTATCTTAACAAAAAAATCGCCATCTCCCTCGGATATCCACCAAAAAATTATCTAAATCAAGGTATCTCTCAAGCTCTTCCAAAGAACTCATTCTAGAGACTAGTTCCAGTCCTCTGCATATGTAAATAATCCTTACGATCAAGAAGTCGCGGACTAAAAGAAAAAAAATAATGACAAAAAAAGCGGAAAAAATACATTACAGAATAGTTCCTAAGCTTCCCATAAACCTTGATTCCCACTTACAAATTCCCCACCAGCCCTCTTTCCTCCCATTTACCTCAGAAGGAAACACGACAAGTTTTACTGGTTCGAGGTGTAATGCCTCGGGCGTTCTTACATTTTTACATTGCGCTCGTCTTGAAAATAAAAAAATATGAAAAATACCTAGTGAAAGACGGTCATTTCCTCCAGCTCCATCTCCACCCTCTTCCTCCTGCCACCTCTTGTGCCCCTACCTCTTGAATTTCGTTGAAGAAATCTCAAAGGGGATATGGAGAGGGGTAAAAAAAAAAACAGATAGGTTACCGATCGGTACTGGAAAAAGAAGTGAAGGGCGGGGAGGGCCGGCCTCATAGGAGGGGACGAGAGAGAGAGGTACTTCACGAGATTGAACAGCATCCGAGGATCAATTCCAGAGAGAGAGAGAGAGAGAGAGGATGATGTGTCGAGAGGAGGGAGAGAAACTCTGGTGCAGAGTAGAACGGAACATCAGAGAGACGAGTGAGATCGGCAGCAGTTTCGTGCCACGGGGCACTGGCGATCGAGCTTTTTAGCTTCACTCCACGATTCAATATTTATTCTCCCAATCATTATTTATCTTCATTTTTTATTTCTACGGTCGATTCGAGTGACCCAGAGCTTATCCTCTTGGCTAAGTGTCCGGGGGAAACAGCGTGATCATTTTTTTTTTCTCGAATTTTTGGGAGATCGGTAATGATGACCTAGGTGTGACTTGACAGTTTGTCGAGAGTATTGTTCCGGTTGGAACACTGTTGGATTATTTCTCAACAGCAGGTGAGTCGCCATTTTTTAATTGCAAAGGGGGCACGCAATTGAGATCGGCAATCGGTTCCAGAGGGTGTGAGGGGATTGTGATCGAGGGGTTACTTGGGGGAGGTTTTTTCGGTTGTTTTCGCCAGAGGCATCTGCAACTGGGGCTCTGATTTTTTGCCGTCTCCCCCGTAGGCGAGAAAGATCGAGATCGTTATCGGCAAGCGAAGGGTGATGGAAACCTGGGGATCGGTGGCTCGGTGAGGCTTTAAGAAATTACAGGGCGTTTTGCTTGTTTTTTGGTTGCACCTCTCGAGAATTTCTCCTACCATCTGCCGATTTTTTTTTATTTTCTCGCAGTTGACGAACTTTTTGATGTCATCGTCTTGAAGTCGATGATCGAAGTTTTACATTTTTTTAACATTTTCCCATGAATCATTGAAATGATTAAAATTCTCCGGGGAATTTTAATCGGGCGATTTTTTATTCCTGGGGGGAGAAGACTGGAAACTGAAAACTGATCGGGGTAAGGCTCTTATCTTCCTCATCAGGTTGGGCCGGAAATGCGAGGAGAAGATGTGACGATCACCAGGAGAAAGAGAAAAATTGAGAGGAAAAAAAATGGGATTTTATCTCTTTCACCATTTGTTCATCTCTCCTTTCCTGTTTTAAACGAGCCGTTGACATTCGTTTTAATTATCCGGTGTTTTTTGGGGAGTAGGGGACAGCGTTAGCTTTACCATACTGGGACATTGGATACGGATCTCTCGAGTTTCTCGGTTTTTTAGCCCAGAAATTTTAGCCCTTTGGGGCGAGGGTTGTAGAAGGATATGGAATTGTGGAGGTTATTGTGCTGATGGAGCCCAAGGTATCACAAGGTACCACACGAGTGGTAGTCATCACTATCCACACATGAAGTACCGTATAGTCTTCCAATGTACGGCCAAGGGGTTACACTCGCTCTCTTATCTCCACCAAAATCCATTCATTATTTCAAGGATATCCCGAGAAATTGTCGCTTGAGTTTTGTAATAGTTTCTTCACTCTTACAAAACTAATCTTCAAATTCCAACTTCTTCAACTGAATCTATAAAACCTAAACAAAATTGTCATCTTCATATAACTCCTAGTTTAAAAAGACAGATGCATGAAATTTATGGAGAATTCTTATTCGTTGATGAATCGCTTAAGGATGTTTTGCTGGTATTTTGTTATTTTTTCTGTTTTTATGAGATTTATTCAAAACTGTCGATCGGATTGGGATATGAAAATATAGCGTTTGTCCGTTCCATCATGATTGACTCTTTCATAAAATTTCATCCCGATACACTAATTTTTGTAACTTCTCGCTAAAATTTAATAAAAAATCAATAAATTTTAATGAAAAATTATAAAAATTGGTGTATCGTAATATTGTAGCGGACATCCGCTATATTTTCATATCGCAAACCGATCGATAGTTTTCAATAAATCTCAGAAAAATAGAAAAAATGACAAAATACCGGCAGAATATCCTTAAGGCTTTGAATATTTATATAACTATCTATTTTTAGTATATAGCACTAAAAAATCGTGGTAATTCTTTAGATAATTCAGATAATTGTTATTTGAATTTTCAATATCTTACGAATTAAATTGTAGTTGATATGGAATTTTGAAGATTCAAATGAATCATCGTATAGCATGAAAAGAAGAATTTTCTGTAATTTTAAAAATTAATAACAAATTGAGTCAACGTTTCTGATGAGAATTTAATTTAAACACACACGATTAAAAAGACAGAGAACATTCGCATTATAATTTTAAGAAATTTCTGGTATTGATAGATGTGGAATTGATCAATTGATTGATGATTGAAAAAATAGAGAGAGATATTAAATGACAATTATGCAATTACAATTCTCTTACCGATTACCGAAGTATTTATTTCGGCAATTTTAATGGTAATTGGAAAATTAAATAATGGAAATTCCGTGATAATTGGATAAGTGGATAATCCCTAAACAGAAAAAAAATTAAATTTAATATTTGCTGAATATTATCAATTTATCTAAACTAAAATATCATTTTTACAACCCGCACATCAAAAAATGATAATTTCATCAATGCGGTGGTAAAATGAAAAGTAAAATCTTACAGTTTCGCTGAATATGATCTCGATAACTATTCTGATTAGAAGGGAAATATTAAATAACTTTTTTGTTGGAAACTGAATCAAGTCCAAAAAGTCTCCCCACATTTCCATCTCGAATCGATAGATTTCAATTTGAATCAATGTTTAAGAACACTTGAACAAAAAAACTGGAATTTTGTGGACTCGTAACTGTCTGTATTTTAGAACCAACACTAAATGCAATAACGAAATAACTATAAACAAGAGATTCTTCAATTTATTTGAATTTTTAATGGAATATTAATATTGGGACGATCATGCGAAATTGCACTGATTTTTCTTAAAAATAAAGTTCAAAAATGCATTAAAAAGGAATTCCATGTTTTTCATATTATCAGTTCCCCAAAAATTTCAGAGTAAAACTTTGAGCTCTGTAAATGCTAAATACTTTTTATCTCACCAGTACTCTTTTTTAAATATATAAACTATATGCGGTGTGTATATTTTCAGTATATCTAAACAAATTATATATAACATATGTATTTTTCGAATGCCTATTATACACATTGTGTAGAGGCATACTTTCTATAAATTGGGAGCTATTGTTGGATGTGAAAAAATGACGAATGTCGGAGAGTCGACAGGTGAAGAAGGTAATAAACTTGGAGAGTGAGCACTGGGAGGAAATACTGTGGGAGCCTGAAGGAACCGTTTAAAAGACTCACACATTAACCCAACAATGTCGTTACATTTTAACGAGTCGCTCAATGCTCCTCAAAGCTCATCATCAGTACCGGAGTCCCATGTTTTGAGGATAAAACTTGCTCGGATGTCGGTCCTCCTCCAGTGCATCATCCTCCGGTTGCTCCTCTTCTTTCCTGAAAAGGTGGGGTGAATTAGTATGGGTGAAGAAACAAAAGCATGATGATAGCCCCAGTACATCGAATGGTCAGGAGACGAAAATAAGGAGTCGAGGATTTAGGAGGAGGAAAAAAGGAGGAGTCACCATGGCGCCACACGTCCAGCGTGTTTGGCCAGCCTCCCGTGTGCTCTTTTCCCCATAGATTTTTTCTTTATTTTTCCGTTTTATTTCATCCGCCTTTTTACTTTTCCCTCCTTTTTTTTCTTTCTACCCATCTCCTTCTGTGCTTGTACTCTTTCTTCTTTTCCTCATTGCCACTCTTCAAATATCATCTTCACTGCTAATTTCAACAATTTATGGAGAAAATCAATTTCTTCGCTTCCCCAACTTTTTTTTTGCTTCTCTCGACAAAAATTCCCCGGCAAATAATTAACGATTCTATCAAACCTAAAAAAAATCGTTAACTTATATAGAGTTCCACATCTTGTAACATCACGGGAAATAATTCTCGATATGATTTTACAAGAAATGTGTATTAAAAAAAAAAGATAGTCCCGACCGGAATTTGAATTTGGGATTCGATTTTATTCCACTTATGCATATCTATCCGGCTCCGATAGCCACTTCTTCTTCTTCATTCCAGATTTCTTATAATACACAAATGAATGTGTTATTTTCCACGAAACAATGAACTGAATTTACACTGTCACTTGGAAATTTTTTTTTAATTGCTCAATCCGTCTGTGGCAATTTTTCCAAATGAAACTTCCGCCAGAGGATTTCTTTCCGAGGAATTTATGTTGGAGAAAAAAACTCCGGTTACAATTTCTTCGATTCCTCGTATGATAGGGTATGATAGCTTCAGCGACTTCTTCCTTCTCCTACTCTATTCTGCTTATTTTATCCCAATTTTGGGTGACAAAAAGTCGATAACTGCTTTTAGCCTTTCTGTACGGTAATTGTTTTTGGTTAATTAATTAGAAAATTGCTTTTGAATGCCCTGAAATTATTGAAGCAATCGTCCTCATTCTTTAATTTAAGATAAAGAAAATTTGAATAATTTGAAAAATTATTATTCATTTTGTTAATCGGATTCTCTGAACTTTAATTATTAATCTGGGGCTGAAGTCCTGACTGAACTAATTTTGAAAATTACCGAATGGTAAATAAGTAAAATTAAATATTTTCCTTCTTTACCAGAAAAAATTGATGAAAGAAAGAGAATAGAAGAGAATGAGAGAATGAATGATTTCGTAACGATTTTTCATTTGACTAACCCCCCTCCCCCTCATCAAGTTTCAGTTGAAAAATTGTGACATGTGTATATATGCATGCACAAAGATATACATGGATATACATGGTCTCAAAATTAATTGCGTTGACAAAAAAATAACAAATTTTGAATTAAAATGCAAAGTGGTAGGCTCAGATGAGTAGATTTTTTCGAGACTAGTTTATGGCAAGTAAACTGGACTTGAAATGAAATAGTGATATTTCCATTACAAAAATTTCTGTCGCCCTCGTCCTTCCCTATAAATAATGTGTGTATACAACAATATGGCTGTTCACCTTCAATTTCGAGATACCAGATAAAGACGGAACTTAAAAGAAACGGGAAATATTCCAATATTATCGGTTACCTACTGATAGTTTTCAAGGATCGATAGATTGAAACACTTTTGTTATTTCGATACAGAAAATGTCTGGAGACAATTGGAACATATAACCCTAAATAATTGTAATTGTTTTATTTAATTTACTGTCCACTTGATTCAACTGTAATTCTGTTCTATTCCGGAATGATTTACAATCGAGTTGATTACCAATAACTTCTATAAATTTTCAATTTGTTAGCAATTAAATTGCATTTGATTTTCAATTTTCAGGATGAGTCTGAAAATCCAAGTTTTCCTAGAAATCTTTTTTTTTTAATATTCAAGGTAAATAAGAAATTTACTGATCTTTTCCAACAGAAAGTGGCTACAAACCCACAAAACAAAAAATCAAACCAGCATTGCGTGAATAGAAAGATTTCCAAAAAAATAACGAAGGAGCTCCACAAATGTAACTCCGCGAGAAATTATCCCAATGGGGGATAATATTTCCAATCTGTTGCAGAGGTGTCACGGATTATTTCCGTGAGAGCGTGAAAATTCCAGAAAATTCGTAAAATTTCAAGTTCCCGCGGTAATTTTTCTGAAAGTACCATTTAAAATGTCAAATTTTTCCCTCTGCATATTTTAGGGTAAATTTACATTGTAAACAATTTAATTGGATGGTTCGATCCTTCATTTGTTGTTAAGAATTAAACTTTAGTTAAAGACTCGATATAATGTAGGCTAGGTTGTTAATGTCCAATGTTGCTTGCTCGAGAGTTCGTAAAAGAGTGTCCCTGGTCTCCAGTCTGTCCAGGGTGACAGGTTTGTCTAAAAGACAAGGCCCTTTGCCTATGGGGTTGGTCCACGTGTTGGGCTGTTTCGATCATAAACAGCCTAAGTGTTTCCAGTATTCCCGGCAACCTGTTACAGCGGGTCGCTTATTCGTTTTAACGTCGAAAATGATTTCCAACAGTATGACAAAGATGAGTTGTTCACAATCTCAATGCGGATATTAACAAAAATGTATTTTTCTCTGAGTGTATGGAGGATCGATGGTATCAATTGAGCCTCAAGGAAAATTCCATCCTGCTCACTCTCTGGTGGATGTGGCCATTCTCTCGGTCCAGAGGTACACCAGTAAGGCTAACTTATACGCACATTGGTACGTGTGTTGTTGTCCTCGACGTACACCACACGACTCGTGTTCTTTTAACCAGGTGAGGTGGTAAGGGGGTCTTTATCGAGAGACAGAGAAGGCGATTTCTCATGTGATAGAGACAAGGAATGTGGAAAGTGCGCGGTAAAACGCCTGCGAGGCGGGAAAAGATACCGACGAAGGTGATCCGCTGGAAAAGAATCAACTGGAGGGGGGCCTCGATGGAGAAGACAGAAAGGAAATACTTGTTTTCAACGCAAACACATTCACAACTATTGCGCATTAACTTCATAATCACAAGATTCCCCTCCCCTCCACTCAAAAATTTGATAACAATAAAGCTCGTTGAAATATTAATCTCATTGAAATGTAGATCCTCCATTGTTGTACAAAAACTACTCGACAAAGATCTATGATATACTGCGAAAAAAACACTTCCACAAAAAGGACTAGTTTGCAATCGCTTTTTTTCACATTCGAGAACGGTTTAAGGCAAAGCATGTGTTGAAACTTGATTGTCGTAAACATTAACTTTTATTCTTTCGTCTTAGTTTTCCTAGTTAAAATTTTCTCGTTGTGGTCGTAGTTACTCCCCGAACAATTCTCTAGAAAAGAAATGCCTTTCTCGTGCTAATGAAGAATACTTTATAAAGGATTGTTGCTGGATTCCGATGAAATAAAAAGAAACTTCAAACTTTATTCTCGAAATCTTTATTAAGTTGAAACGTAAAACAGAGTTTCTAATTGAGGATATCCTCTCGTTGTTCTCGCTTAGTCTATTCGATTTAATCTGATTTGTTGATCCTGCAGAGTTCAGAGCTGGGGTCGTAGTGCAAAATCAGTAGGGGTGGAAAGAAAGTGGAAGGAGAAAGGCCCAAGGTGGTTGATTGGTTGGGTTGAAAGGATATGACCTGTGGGGGTTGGCTTCATCAGGTCAAGAAGGAAGTTACCTAAGTGTGGGAATGAAATTATTGGGAAAACTCCCAAGTAAGGGGTTTGCAGGAAATATAGGGAAATTGCCGGATTAGGGATCCGAGGTACTGGGGAAAGTATCGAGGAGTATTTTTTATTATGATTGGTGAAATATAACGATTTGTTAACTTTCCTGGGAATGGAAGGTGGTAAAATGGAATGAAAGTTTTTAGTATATTTGTTGCTAACAAATTATGGGGAATTATTCGATATGTGTTAAACTAGATATCAAAAATAGTGGGTATACAACATTGGGCTGTTTCGGTTTGAGAATTAACTGGCATATGACTCTGTATAATTCAAATTGCATCTGCATCTGTTGTTCAATCATCTGGGTCTCGTACCAGAGTGTTTTCACACCCTCAATTGATCTGGAACTGTGACTTGGGAACAGACTGTTTGTCCTGTATGTAGCAAAGAATCTTCCTACGGTTTCTTCTCCATCGAAGGTGGGAAGAAAAACAGAATGAAAAAGAACGGTATAAGTTCCACTATTTTCTTTATCCTTTAAAAACACGAGGGACGTCTTGACACCTCCAACATCTCCACGAGACCAACTCTGGTCACAAAGGCTTGCAAATATATGATTACCTATAGAGAAAAAACTGTCAGTTCTTGCATTGGTTAGAGTCATTGTTTATCTTTATATTCCCTTCGTGGATTTGATTTCGTATTCAGGACATCATGAATAAATGTCTCAGTAACTTAGACCTAAATAATATATTGAATGATCCATTAATAATTCAATATTAAGGCAGAAAAAATAGGCATTTTATGTTGAATTAACACCGACTGTTGCCCTACAAAGTCCAGATCAAAGGTGTCTTGACACCTGCAATTGATTTGTGGCTGTGACTTGGGAAAAGATAAGGTCTCATTGTCGTCTAACAGGACCTCGTGTACCTTTCGGTCATGAGCGTCTCTACTTACTCTGACCATTGCAATCAAAAGCAATCAGCAAAAAATCAACGAATAATAATAAGGAATGATGATTGGGGGATAAATGCGTTGTGTACGAAAAAATTTCTCTCGAAATTGAGAACTATTTCATTCTTTTGTGGGCGGAACCCTTTTGCGGCTCTTGGGGCGTCAAATTTGGTTGAAAATCAAATTAATCTTGTGGCACCTTCCACCCCCGCCGCTTAAATCACTTTTTTTGGTGGGAGGGAGGGGGGGGGGGAGGGGGTCACGGTCTGTCTCGTTTCTCTGGTGAGGACACGAGAGAGAAAATTGAGAGGGATGGAGGGGTGGGAGGGGGTTGGGGAGCCGGAGGTCCGGTTTGGGTCATGTTGTGGTGCTGAGGCGAGAAGAGAAGGTGGCGCGCAGCAACAAAGAGGGCCTTTGGGACTTCTGAGGTGGGTTTTCAGGGACGGACACCGTAGACACCTGATATTTATTCTTTCCACCGGGAGGGCTCCCGAACTATGCCGCGGGGGATTTTTCGGGTTCAGTGGTTCCTTAATGTTGCTTATGGGAGGAGATACTCTTCGTCTTTTTCGCCACGTTCGTCACGGAGGGCCTCATTAACGGTGTAACACCTATTTTTTTTTTTCTCCAGTGCAATTATCCGGGAATGTACATGAAATTGGTGAAATGAGTTTTGCAAGCTGCCGGATTTTGGGGATATCGGGCATGGGGGTGGGAGTCAATCGTCAGATGTCTGAGAAAAAGGGAAGAATCCAACGAACCTGGAGCAACAAAGATACCGCGCTATAGGTCAACAAAAAATATCCCATGAATATAAATTCGCTCAGGAAAATAATCCCCGCGTTGGAACGGTCTTCTTCTTCTTCTTCATCTTCGCGGGGATTGTGTGTGCTTTTTTTTCGCTGAGGGAATTTCTTTTTTTTCGGTCTACTATGTCTCCTCCTTTATCTCTCTGGTCTTTTGCCTCTCACGATCTTTCTTCAACACTGATTCTGACACCCTGTATAACGCGTGAGTTACCACCTGAGGAACTCACTTTCTCGATTCTTGCGACACGATTTTTTTTTTGCAAGAGAGAGAAAGAGCACAGATTAAATGGAACAGAGGATTGAAAAATTGTTGCAGTCCATGTGTCGCGAAAGCGGTGTCCCAGAGTTTGAGAAAAGTTCTGAAAGAGTTGAGGTTGGTGAAAAAAATTGTGTCAGATGACAATAGGGAATTCTTCGAAACTTGTTAGATTCAGTTGTAAAAGAATTTCGCTAAATTCCATCGGTCTTCCTATGAACTCAAATTACCGAGGAAAAACGTAGGATTTTGTATCAAGATCCCGGCAATGGCGGGCGATTCTCTTTCTTCCAGACCGACTGATTGAATTCGAACGATTTTGTCGCCAAAAAAGAAGTCAACCTGATTCTTTACGACTGACAGAACAGCCGCTAGCAAGAAGTCGCAGCGAGAAACAGCAAAAGTGAGGTTTAATCGTCGATTTGACTCAATTGGAGGTGAAGTATTTGTGGACAGAACTGGGGGAATCCCGAGAAAAATAATAAAAATGCGAAATGATCGCGGGGGGGGGGGGGGGGGGGAATTCCTGAAAAGCAATTTTATGGTTGAGTGAGCGAAGGGGATTATTTTTTCACGTGGAAAATGCGCAAGCGTTGGGGCGAGTTCTGGTGACGTAATGGCTAACCGGTCGTCGAACCGAGAGAGACTGCTGGTCAACTCGGACGAAAGGTCTTTTCATTGATACCAGTTGCAAAAAATAACGGCAGTCTCTATCAAAATTTATCATTCACTCTGACCATCGGTATTATTGTTGCAGCTACCATGAAGTCTATAAGAAATCTTGTGGCGTTGATATTGCTGGGGACCAACCTGATGATCCTTCAGGCACATCGTGAACACAAGGTTTGTTCCTGTTGGCATATCACTAGGAACTCCAAATAACTCGAAAAACAATTTTAAGGATTTTTAAGAAAAATCTTTCCCTTCTAATTTCAGCTAATAGCACTGTCGTCTTCATTCAACTGATAATTTTATCTTTTATAAATACAATATATGAAATATAGAAATACTAAATTGATATAACCACTAATTGAAATTGACAAATTGGATTTAATTGTGATATTAAAAAAATATTGATAAAATAAATTAACTAGCCGATAAATAGTTAATAATAACTAATAATTGACTAATTAGTTGATAACTTGAATAATTTCGGTATACTTTTGATATCTGCATTCTTATTTTTTTAATATCAAACTTGTCTCACGGTGGAATTCTTGAATTCTTGATTCTTGGAAAACTTGATAAGCTCGTTTGTTTACAGGGACCCCAGGCGGAAATATTCGATTAATTGCGAAGCTCGAGTCGTATCCGGGAGATGACTTTTTCGTTCAAATTTCAGTCGATAGAATAGCACCATGAGACGAAGTCTATTTGCAGGAAGACTCAAATAAGATAAGAACACCCGAAGAAAATTTCATGCCCAAAACAAGAATCCTTTAATCAATCCACAACTTAATTGCAACTCTCAGCTCGTTTGATGTTTAATAGTAACATGCAAAATTCTCAAAAAATTATCAATTTGAAACCGTGTAGCTCGTACCACGTGATGACGAATGGCCCAATTCTATTGGTCGATAGGTGGGTCAGAAATAGTATATTACGCAACAAGTGCGTAATAGATTTCTTGGCTCATGGGAGGGGTGTAACACGAGCCGAAGGAGAGTTTTACAATCCCAGGAGTCAAAAGATCCATAACGCAGGAGTTTCGTACACTATTTTATGTCATACCGAGTGAAGCGAGGTTAGAATCGCGTGATTACAGGCACCTATGACATGAAATAATCTGTATAATACCGAATAGCCTTCGCGAATGCTGCAATAACATCGCTTAAATTTGAACGGCAATGATAATCCCCCGAATACAACTCCAGATTGAAAATCAATCTGATCTTCCTTTTTAGGTTTCTTCCCAATAAAGGCGCTTGTTAAGTTTTCCAGAAAAACTGCACATGTTCGGTTGTTTACAACGAGCTAATTAGCAAATATTTAATAATTTTGAAGCAGTCCTAATATTATAATTGAAAGCTTAAATGTTTATATTAAAAAAAAGCAATGAAGTAGTTACGCGACTTACGGTCACTGAATCTTTTTTTTATTCATATCCGAATCTTCCTCTTATAATTAAAGTATGCACACGCTTTAATACAGTTTTAGCAATTATTTGTGACCCATAGCGCGATTCAAATCTGCATGTACTTGATTCAAGTATCCTTTTGGCAGGACTACCGCTCGGCAGTGAAACTGTGAGATTAGAGCACTATAAATTTTTAACCGTCGGTGCCCGGGATTCAACCCGGATCATTGGCATCTGAATCTAGCACTCTAACCGCATGACCACTATCGTCGGTCAAAAGTAAAACAATAAATTATTAAATATTAATATATTAACCAAACTAATTTCATCTATTCACGGATAAAGTTATTCCATGAAACCAGTGAATAAAGGTGCTGATTGATCTTTTTGGATTTATCTCTTGAGGTTTTTTAAATAAAAATTATTAACTAAAAACTGAAAAATCTTTTGGCACTACGTTTTGTTCAGTTTAATATCAACAAATAATTAATTTTTCAATAGAATGAGGAAATTTTGAAAGAATAGATCAGAAAATAAAGCTGATGTTTTCTCGTGATCTCTCCGCGCACCCCCTCCCCACAAAAAAAGCAATTGATTTATATTAATGAATAATAATAATTTAGGTTCACAATATCGTTTTATATCCGGACAAGCACAGTTGGTGCAAGACGACGCCAATAAAGCAGGTAGTCACGTGGCCCCAGTGCTCGTCCCAGGAGTTGGATAACAACGTATGCGTCGGAGCATGTTTCTCATATATGGTACCACACAGCGAGCCCTCAGCCCCAGGAGACCTTATTAGGCCTTACTGTGACTCCTGCCAGCCCCTTGACAGTGTCTGGCATACGGTAAATTTTTTATTTTTCCATCACGATCAGTTTCTTCCACCCTCATTTGCATTGTTCCCTAGTCAACCTAGTTCCAAATGCCACAGGTCACCCTCGACTGCAAAGATGATAAGAAAAATGCAATAAAAATGCAGAAGAAGGTCCAAATAATCACCAATTGCTCATGCTCTTCTTGCATGGAGACCTCTCGAATAAAGCCGGATTACAACACCCTCTTGCGGACGCTTGCCGAAGAGAATATGGACAAAAACGTAAACATCATCCACGAAACACCGGATCTTCTCCTCGATCCTAATCTCAACTCCTCCAAGAATACCACCAAGGACAATCTCCAGGTCAGCGACAAGTTCCTCCACTTGTTCAGGGAGATGAGGGACAAGGAGAAGGTCGACGAGGCCGAGGCCAAGGAGCTCTTCGCCAAATTCGAGGAGGGCATGGACCTGGGCAAATTGCAAGAGATCCTCAAGAAGTACGAGCATGTGGATGAGCACAAGCATCACAGTCATCATAAACTCGAGCAGAGCCATGGGGCAGAGGCTGAAGAGATTCCCAGTCTGCTTCATGCAAGTTTGCACAGGGGTCCCCATCATTCTCTCGTACTTGAGCCCGATGTCAAGGGAAAGATCGATGTCGAGCCCCATGATCTTCAGCCAGCTGTCGCTGGACAGGAGATCAGCTATCACGATACTGTTGCCGTTGATAAGGACAAGAAGAAGGACTTCATCTAGGGACACACCTCAATAATTATCATCGGAATTTCTGGTGATTTTTGTTGATCCTTAACCCTTCCAGGGGACTGCCTTGATACGAGTACTTCTTTCGTACAAATCTGATGTTATCATCAATATTTGATGACGAATGGGCTAATTGGATGGGAGTGTTAGTTGTAGTAATTACAAATTGCGTTAGTTTCAACTAAAGAAAGCAAAAATGAAATTCTAATATATTTAATTAACTAATTATTGTGTAATTAAAAGCACGTTATTTAAACAATTTTTTCGGGTAATTGTGACGCAACGCGTTTCATGGTTCACTCCGTATTGTAATTTTATATATTTTTTATTTCATCGATCTATTTCTGTAGAAAGTGAGCATGTGAGCATGTGCTCGCAATTCAATAAAACTGGAAAAGAGTCGATATTTATTTTCATTACTCAATAGCTTTCTAAAAAATGGGAAAAAATGGCAGACATTCGAGAGCCAAGTTTGATTTCTCGCCAATTTTTATAAATTTGCGACAACTATCAGCTAAAAATTCGCTTCAACTGGAGAAAAAAAAGACACTTCAACTTTCGCTGCAAATACCAGAATAAATTACCCCTCTTGGCATACATTCAAGTATCATGCTGATGACATCAACGTAATCCCCTCTCCAATGATCTGACCCAATCACCAACGAGCGCAACAAGTAATCAAGCGCGTCATAGATAAGGGGAGTTGAAATACACACAAATTAATCGACAAGTACCAACGAAAATAATTGGGCCAGTTTTGGTCATTCATCACAATAGATATTTTCACGTGGTAATATGACTATTGTGTGACGACTTGAGACCGTTACGGGTGTTCAGTCAGCTGCGTGCTGTCGATGTCTTCGCAGCACGCAATTCTCTCATTTTCAACTAAACATGTAGATCCTCTAATGACACTTACGGTATTTTCGGCTTATCCAGAACAATGCTGATACCGTGAGTGATGCCTAGAGGATTATCCAGCAACGTGGCATTTCTGTGTTTTTTAATGAGAGGATTTTACCGGAATTTTTAGCGTGTGAGGTGATTATTTCTTGTGATTGGTGATCATTGTTGGAGATATTTCCACAGCAGGATGGATATTATGGACGGTGAGATGATTTTTTTCATTACTTTTTGGTGATTTTGAGAGATTTCTTGAGGTCTTGGACCGTGATTAGTCAAAGCTCAAGGAGTTGGGGGCAAAGGTCCAGAGATTTATCAGAGATTATACCATCGCGGGGCTCGTAAGATCGCTTGGTGAAAAATATTAAAGGTTTTTTCCTCCACAATGGGTTTGAGAACTAAACGAATTTTAAGAAAAACGCCAATCACATTCGACGAATAATTTTCCATGATAACAAATTCGAAATTATTAATTTGTTGGAAAGACTGGCGAATCCTCTTCGTTGTGGTGACGACTGTAATGAGGATGATGGACTTAGCATTAGCATAATCAGTATTTAATTAGTGAGGCGCTAAAGATAAACGGAAAATGAAGCGGCGAAAATATGAAGAAATATCCCTTTTTAAAAAAAGTATGTAACGTTTTTTGTCAGCTTTTTTTGACGCTATGCATGTCAAAATATATCTATATAATATGATATATATATATATATATATATATGAATAATATTTAATATTTTTATTTTTATATTATATTATACTAAATTTATATAATATAATATATAAATTTAATATAATTTATTAAAAAAAAATTAAATTAAATTATTTTTTATATAAATTTTTTGACTTTTTTCTTTCTTTTTTTTGAAATTCTATATATGTATATATTATATTGGAAATAACCGTGAATATGTATATATATATATTCCAATGATAACACCCCATACGTGGACGATTTGGCGCGCATAGCGCGCCATATACGCTAGTGAAATATAGAAATAGCCTTTACTTACAAGTCATTGGATGTATTTTGTATTGTAAATGTGTTATTTTTTTTTAGTATGTCAACTTATTTTACTTCCATAAGACCCCGACAGCATTGATAACATTGTAAATTACTGCCTTTGATAACAGGCGCCTTTATCGATTTTATGGTAGAGTGTAGTTGTTATTACCAATTATACATTTACAACCGAAATGAAGACCATAAAGACTTGATAAAAAATGTACTGAACAGTTTAGTTTCCAATTTAAAATTTTTTCTTGTCTTCACTGTAATAAATATTCGATAAAAAGTACCTGTTATTTCCATAACTTCATGTAATTTTTCCGTCGAAAATTACGCTATGACCACTTAAATTTTTTAATCTTCATTTTGGCGAATCAAAAAAATTCCTAAGAGCGCTATGAATTACTAAAAGTGTAGGGACATTAACCAAATTCATGCTTTTGTGTTTGAGTTCTATTGATACTTCGATTTAATGAAGAATTCGTGATGGACAATTCTAAAAATCGGTAACATTCCATTCTCTTGGGATTTCCCACGTGAAATTCTGGGATAATTAAAAGGAAGTTCAATGATACCCATGCGATCCTTATCATGAAAGCAGAGATACGTAAATGAAGTTCGCCTGAGTCGAAACTCGTAAGACTGATTCCTTATTGGCCAACTCGAATCCGAAGTCGAAATTCGAATTCGGCGCACGGAGTGCGCAGTAGATCTCGTGTTATAAAAACACGAACGGTATGATTGAAGTAAATTGAAGAAAGAAAACGAATTCATAGTATAATTCAATTTGAAGAGAAAAATGGGATTATTATCTACTTAATTATCATGACACGACAATCATAATTTAAAAAATCCCCCAAATATCGCTGGAATTTAAGTTAAAATAGGGGCATCCCCGCGAGATCTTCGGATAATTTGAAAAAAAGTCCAGTTGCATATCTTATAGGTGATATAATTTAACAAACAATGAGACTATCTAATCAGCCGAAAATTTAAAATTGGAGTCTCCGATAAAATTTGCTCGTCAATCTTTATCCTCAACATGATTAACATGAAATCTCGAAATGAAAAAAAATTCACGTCCATAAGAATTTATTGCAGGTACAATCGCCTGATCTTCAAACTTTCCCGACTTATCTTCAGAGTTTTCCCGCTTTTACTCTTATGATAAGATCCCCTACCCCAAGCTCAGCCATTGATCCTCAAAGGGACATGCAGAAATTGACTTAGTCGACTATTGATCAATAGCACGGTCGTCACGATCTGAACCGTGATGACCGTGCCTTAATCAAATCGTCGTATATTCCACTACGATCTAAAAAAAGAATTCCACTCACTTAGAACCGATGTAGCGTATCCTCAATGGAATTCTCAGTCACGAAACGTTCGATGTACTCTATTTTTGGACGCCAAGTAGTACATGCCGGCTAAATGAAATAATATACCGACACAAATGATGAAAGGCGTTCTAAAAACAAGTGATCTTTCGCAATTCGAAGTCAGTAAAAATGCGCTGAAAAATTATAGCTATGGTAATTATTTTCGAAATTCCAAGAGTTCGGTGTCGGAACTATACTTTTGAGCTGCAATCAAATTCAATTGAAATAGTGTAGAGAAATGATATCACCAACCATTTGATTGGATGAGTCGACCTTTCATTTATTTTAAAAAATTGAACTTTAGTTAAAGACTCGATATAATACCAGCTAGGTTGTTAATGTTCAATGTTGCTTGCTCGAGAGTTCGTTAAAGAGTATCCAGGGTCACCAGTTCGTCCAGGGTGTGAGGTCTGCCCCAAAGGCAAGGCCCTTTGTCTATGGGGTTGGTTCACGTGTTGGGCTGCTTCGGTCATAAACAGCCTAAGTCTTTTCATTATTCCCTGCAACCTTTTACAGCGTGTCGCTTATTTGTTTTGACGAAAAATATTTCCACCAGTGGAATATTCCACGACAGATCCATAATTCAAATATTTTCAAAGTACAAATTTTTCAATATTTTGTTTTCATATTGATACAACGGTTATTGCTATTAGTGCCACCATTGCAGTCGTTCAACAAGACATCAAAACTAATTTTTTAAGCTGTCATTGAAGTACTTTATAGCTTTTTTCCTTCAGTTGTGTAATAAAAAGAACTTATTTTCAAAAAAATTGAAAAATTGAATAAATTAATTCAATTCTTATCATTATTGATGACTAAGCTTTAATGATATTGCCACGTGAGAAGAAAATGATTTTAGTTCACTGATGAACTAGCTCAGTAATTAGACAAGCGTGAATTCAAATCCACTAGTTGATTAAGGAAGTGCGGGGCAATATGGGCATGCTTTTATTTAAATTGGTGTAGTAGCAATTAACTAATGTGATGAAAATTACATAGAATGTTATGGAACGTGAAAATACAAAGTTTTGAGTGACTGTGTGTGTGTATATCTGTATGTATATGGGTACAGATTTTTCGATAAAAAAAAATCAATGTAAAAACAAACTGTGCGACAGAAGCTACATGACAATTGACGTATAACAGCTACTCCCTATGTATTTTTTTGCTTCTATTTAGAATTCTACGAATTTCAGTGGTAGTATGCTGCCGAATCGATTTGACCCAATTGATCTTCTCAAAAGTCAAAATATTTAACTGGCTGGTAATTGTGTTGTTTTAATTGTGCGAGGAAAATTACCGTACCACTTAATAAAATTTGTCAACTGTTTATTAACAGTTGTGTAGAAATTATTGACGACCCCAAATTTCAGTTAATTTTTCTCAAACAGTTGGATGACTTTTTCCAAGGAGAGAAAAAATCTATGAAAAATTACGTATCAAATATCTTAAAAAATAGTTGTTCAATTGTTAAACAACGTAATGAGTTACCAATTTTTTTGCATTACTTAGGTTTTTTTTTTATTTTTGAAGAATCCCACTTGACAGTCTCTCAATCAATACTAATTGCCAGATACCTAATTAATCCATTTATCTTTATGTAAACATGAAAAAATGTTAAAAATTGAGAATTGAAGGATTTTTAAAGGCCGTCCAAATTATCTTTTCCAAATTATCAGTCTGCCCTATATCGATTTGCTTAAATAAACACTATAATACGTCTTTCACGAAACGATGGGCCAGCGTTGATCCAACCTGAAATAAAAAAAAATAATGATCAATCAGTAATTACTCACCTCATCACCCGGTTGTTGTGACGTAGAGGTGAATCATTGTTTCGTCGAAAGAAACGACGCCAGCAGCCTCTCGCCCACACATTCCCGGCTCCCAACCTGAAAAAAATCGACAACTCTCATCTTCTTCTTTTAATGGTTGTGATTATATTCTCGTCTCAATTCACGACATATGCATTAAAAATTGCACTGACATTCGTCATGCGACCGGCGCCAAAAGCCCCCGCATTCCCCGGGTGACTCCCCATCGTGGACACGTTAAAACGTACGTGTATGTACATGATATGTACATGAGAATACAAACTCAAGTTGAGTGTCGGAGTTGCGCGCACGTTGAAACGGTGGACACCGGGCTCGGCCATCTTGAAAGTGCTACCGAGCACCACCGGAATCACCCGGAATTCCGCGAATAGGCAATTCACACGGGTGCACACGGGTTTCTTACTGTCCCCCAACAGTGAAATCGAAGGCCTCGCCGAGTCAATAGTGAAAAATAAAATTGCAGCAGTTGTCATTTCTGCATTTATGTACACCTTTCCGACTCATTTCAATATTCTCGTCATCCGCCAAAGTGAAAAATCTTATTGTTGATGAGGGGTGGGGAGCGATGTTCAGTGAATCAGTGATTTTTTTCATTTCTTCCCATTGATTTTCAACAATTTTTATTTTTATTTTCATTTACATAATTGAACGATTAGATTTTTCGGGTTGCATTGATTTCTCATCGTCAGCATGAATAAAATATTGGGAATGAACTATTGCACAGTTTTCTCTGTTCTTAGAAGTCCCGAGGAGGGTGAATCATTAAAGCGAATCGTCTAAAAAGAGCAGTTGAAAAAAAGATTATTAGAAAAGTATTTTCGAAGAAAGAAAAATTGTGAACTTTTTTTTTATTGCGCGATCTGGGGAAACAGCTGTAGAATTTTGTGGATTTTACGTTGGTCTCTAAATATAGCAAAGGCGGAAAGGTGAAGAGGAAAAATTGTGATTTTGCAGTTTTGGTTACGTAAATATTTTTTCTTTAAGAATTTTAATCGAACTTTTATCATTTTTTTTCTCGTTATTGATTGTCGCGGAGTTAGCACGTGCCAGGTGCCACCAGCTACTGTTCCCGAGACTTTATTGTGATTTATTGACATTTGTCTTGCGTGGAAAGATAAAAAAGTGTAACAAAATTGTTGGTATTCATTGTTAAACGTGCTGTTATCAAAAGAGTATCGATTGCGTCGATAAAGTAGATGATTCTATCATCACAGACTCATGACAAAAATAATTGAATAATTTCCGAGCCCTTACTCTCGAAAAAGTCTCCAAAAAATAGCCGATATTTTCTTTAATAATTGAATAACTCACGCAGTTGAGACAGACTCTGCCGATAAAACAATCAGAAATTGAATTTTAAAACTAGAAAATCCCTAGTGTAAAAAATTGCCGGCTTGAGAGACGGCACTTCGATCCTACCCACTCCCAGTGATGTATTTGCGATCAATCGACAAAAGAGTGTGCGAAAAATTGCAACAGCCACTATTTCCCCTAGAATCAGGTGGAAATAATTCACTTACCGTCGAGGATTCTCCACAATTGCCCGTGACAATTCCTCAATCCGTTGGATTGTCACGAGGTATGAGTGAGGGTGAACGAGCAGTAACAACTCCACTAATTGGCTGGAGAAAATTAACCGATCCCGGTGACTGACACGAACACAATCAAAAAATATCAACGATACGATAGCATAAATTGATTTATCATCGATCGATAATATCGGCAGACTCATCTAGGGACATTCACGTTTATTTTGTTGATGTACTGATGGAATCAATTATGAAATTGTTTGTGATCGATGATTTAATGATGGACATGAGGATGGCGGGTAATCGGTGTCGGTAGCAGACGGGGTTTATCGATTATTGGTCACGTGGGAGGGGTAAATGACCCCGGTTGGAGGATCCAGGGGGTTGGATCCATCGATATTGACCTTGAAAGATCAATTGGTGTAAGTGAGGGATCAGGACTGATTGATTAATCATCCGTAAAGACAATAAGTGCTTCGAAATAATCTAGGAAAATTATCAGTTAATGAGGGGTTGATCCAAAAATTGCGGTAGCTCGTGGTGAGAGAATATTGTGACGGATTTGTCGAGATTTGGTTTAAAGAAAAGGGAAAAGGGAACCATGCCGGCAACACCGAAAAAGCTCAATTTGAGCTTTTCAAAAAATGCATACAGCGTTTTTGGAGGCAGAAGAACGGGAAGTGGAGAAGAGCAACGGACGGAACAAAAAACTGAATTGTTGGAGGGTAAGAAAATCGGCGAGTGAATTCCTTTTCATTGATGATACAAAGGCATAATGAACACACAAAGTTTCAATTTGAAACTTCGTCAACGCTCAAAATTCCAACCTCAATTTTCCTCATACTCTTTTTATTCGTCTTCAGGAACTCGAGGCAATGGCCTCCTACACTTTAAGAACGGTGTCGACTACATCAATCCAGGGGAGGAGGATCAGATGGAAATTTATGGGTAATTAACGAGACCAGCTGGTCTCATTTTTATTTGTGGAATCTTTTTCAGCCAATCAATTGCCCGTTTCATATTTTATTGTTCTATTTCAGTAGCGAACCGGTAAAAGGGTTTAAGTTCATTTTTGTCGTAAATGAGTTTATCATTGAAATCGAATGGGTTAAGGATATCCAAGTACTAGCATTCATCTTTACTCCATAAAATCTCTTTCAAACAATATAGAATAGGATGCAATCTTTATTCTGGACATAAATTCAAACAGACTTGCCAAATGTTTTTTCCAGAAAAAAATTTAACATGCAGTCTACATAAGATTATCACACACATCATAGATGACTGTATTCGTTAGATTCTCTAGTTTTTTTTTTCGTCATGGGAAAAAAACCGCGTCAGAACAAATAGTGAAGAAAAATTGAACTGAAAACCTCTTCATCCGAATTTGAAATGATGCAAAGAAAAATTGATTTGTTCGACGGACTCCTCGAATCCACTGGAGTAGATTATAAGGAACACATGTACAATGTTGCCATATGATCATTAAGGATTTTATGGCATGAACTCGGGGTGAGAAAAAAAGCAGTCAATTTTGGGATTTTTTTTCCACATATTAATTGAGCCATTTAGACACCCCTCGCAAGATTTTACAAGCCCTACGACAAAGACGTCAATACGAATTAATTCTAAAGTTGCTACTTATACATGGAGTTAAAGGGAGGGTCGATAACTGATGCATTTTCCCGACCTTATTCGACAGTCGGCAATGTGGAAAAAATACCGAATTCATCGATCATTCAGTCAAATTCGTTTATAGGTATACTGAAGTCAGCATAAGTTTTAACACTGATTTTAGGAGTGGGGGACATGGTTACAAGTGGTAACTACGTGGAGTGGGGGTACCCAGAGAAGTAAAAACTTATGCTGACCTTAGTATAGTAATAGTAACCTTAGAATTAAGTTTTGTTGATGGTTTTCTCGTGCGGCTCTTGCAATCTTACAAGGGCTGTCTAACTGGATCGAATAATATGTGGAAAAAATCTCATAAAATTGACTCCTTTTTTTTCCATCCCCAGTCCCCATTATAATATCCTCAAAGGCTAGGGCAACGACAGTCGAAGGGAAAAATAAACAAAATATAGACAACGATATCCTTTAGATGAATTGTGAACGAAACTAAAATTTTATAGAAAGAAAAGTTGCTACTTTGGCCAAACTACTTGGATATTCTTAAGTTACAACTCTAATTCCAATCGAGCAATATCAGCATAAACGAAGAAATACTAAGTTGAAGAATGAGATAAGTCGACATAGCTCTTTCAACTAAAACCAACAAGAGAGATAACTTGACTCAACTTTCAGGCACAATTCGACCTAAGCTCGAGCTAAGTTGCAGAATTTTTAGAACTAAATGACTGCAGAAAGTGAAACTATTACTATAGTCCACTCACCGAAAATCAAATTAAATTCAGCAATTGAATTGCACAAATTTATAACAGAGGAGCGATAACCAGTTTTTCTACTCATCTGTTGAATTTATTTATGTTACTTGAACCGTTTTACCGCTTCACTACTCAAATTTTTCACTTGAATGGTCAAAAAAAAACTTCACCGCATATTTTCCCATTGAATTAATCAATTCGACCACATCTGCTGCAAAAATAGTCGCCCGACAAATCGTCATTAAACCAGCGACTTTTTCGTAGATTGTTCCAGACATAATCCATAACTTCCATACTATTCTTAATAATCGCCTTAAGATCAGGATAAATTAAGGGAAAAAAATCAATTTCACTTTAAGGCCAGCATGGACCATCTATCAAACCTGATCTTTAATTTGAATTTAAGGTTGTTGTCGCGTAGAATTTTTTTTCGACAGTTTTCGTTAAAAATTTTATGGTGAATAGTTAGAAAAATTAGCAACAAAATGAGCCTTTTTCGTTTGCAATTGACCGTTTTGAACTTGAGATATAAATTTTTGAAATTCGACTGATTTAACACGTGTTGAAATGGAGTTTTGCCGATTAGAATTTTTTTAAAATCAACGGCTCGACAGTTTCAGAAATAAAAAAAAACGTGGAATATACATCGTGGGAGGAAATACAGAAAAAAAAATCAAATCGATTGACCGTTCGGTTTACGGAATATAATTATCGGAAATTCATAAATTTATATAATTGAAAATAGTTAATATGGAAAATATATAGTTATGCTTTAGCTATCCATGCACAATGCAATCAATCAAGTGAGACTATATACCGCTAAAAGATTGTGTTCTAAACTGGCCCGTTTTACAGCGGATAAACTTTTTACAGAGACTGTCGCGCCACAACAACCTTAATGTGAGTAGCCTAAAATCTATAAAAAACCTCGGCTGCAAATTGTGTTCCAGAAACCACTGCAGTGGTTATAATAAGTTTTTAAAAAAGAGGAACAATTACTCCAGGGTAAACAGCCATATTGATTTGAACGGATTTGCGAAGTTTACGAAAGAAAAAAAAATTATAGAAAAAATTACGCGGTTTACCATCGATGACAATTGGCAATCCATTTTTATATCGTTCTTGATTGTCAAATATATTTTTCTCCTCCATCATGGTAGCTGGTAAACGGTGTATCTTTCATTATTAATCCGTAAACTGGACAGATCTCTTTAAATCAATATTGCTCTTTATGCTTGGCCCCCCCCCCTTCCCGCGCAATTGTCCTCGGTTTTGTTTATTATCGTTTTATTTTTATTATTTTTTTTATTATTTTATTATTTATTTTTTATTATTTTTTTTATTATTTTTTATTATTATTTTCTAACCATTGGACTAGTTTCCGCAACACAATTTGAATCCCATGTTATGATATATTTCAAGCTAACAAGATGAAATTGAAACTAAAGATCATGTTTCATCGATAGTCCATGCGGGCCTTGAATTTCTCTAATTATAGCCTACCCCAAAACAACAATTAAAATGATAATTGTAAATTGTATATCACAGGCTCATTTTAAGTGACATTCATCAACGTCATTTTTATTGATTGAATCAATTGAAATGAAATTTATTATTAAGTTTACAGTAATTTTTGTAAAAACTATTCATTATTAATATACAACAATCATATAAATTGAATATTCAGCAGAATATAACATTAAATTACCACTGATCTTCAGGTGATTATGATAAATAGCATTGAATATAAGTAATAATAATAATAATAATAATTAAATAATTTAATTTAGCATATAATGTCAACTATTTTGGGAACAGATATAAAAGGGACAAGGTACGCACCATCATCACATGGATTCTTATCGCTATCACCGGAGGGTTGCTGCGATTGGTCTTCCACTGGGTGCCTCATGTTATGCTCCTTGCAACGCATTCCAAATGTCCGATGGAAGAAGCGGAAACAGTTATGTTGATCGAACGATTCCAAGGGAAACATACGAGCTACTATGTGAAAAAATTAAGGACTATAACAGCAAAAGAAGTCTCGTAAGTGCCGGGAGAAGACTCCCTTTCTCACAAAGATCAAACTCATCAGCCATTTACAGTCATCCATGCACTTTCAAATACTATTTACATTAATGAATTACATCAACAACATCAGTTTAATTATTTATTTTTCAAAATCCATTAGTTGAATGTCAAAAAAAAACATTAATTCTACCCATAATGTCAGTGAAGCTGTCATAACTAAAAAGACTCCCTTCCTTTTCACTCTTAAACTGATATTACGATTTCAGGAAAAATATCGACGAAGACTCTCTAATCGATGAGCCTTTTTCCGAAGCCGGAAGTTTGGAGAGCGTATCTGTGGGTGGGCAGGAGACAATGCTGTCCGTGCACTTAACGGGGGGTTATTTCAAGCGTAAGTTGAACCCCTATTGAATATTTGCTAATGGAGTTCGTTGTCCTTTAAACTATAACTAGAAATTGATGAATCCGCATTATCGATATTGCAGAGGTGCCATCAATCATAACTTTCAACTGCAAGAAGTTAACATACATCTGGGACACTGAGCGATCTGAATTCATGAAGCTCTCGGGCCTCGACAATGGCGTGTTAACATCAACCCTTCATCAGATGCCCGGTCTCAATTCCTTCGAGCAATTCCTTAGGTGATTCATCAATTAATATTCATAAAAATCCTTGAGGCACAATTTGACCTCTTAATTACAGCCAATTTATGTTTACAGGCGAAGTGTTTACGGTAACAATGAAATCGTCATCCCAGTGAAGAGCTTTATTACTCTTCTCTGTTTAGAAGTACTTAATCCATTCTACGTCTTCCAAATATTCAGTTTCTGTCTGTGGATCGCTGATGATTATTATTATTATGCTATGGCTATCATTTCTATGTCGTGCTTTGGTATTGGAATGGCCGTCCTTCAAACCCGCAGCGTAAGTAGAGTTTATTTTTCATAAATTGATGGGTTCAGTACAATTTGACAGGAGAACATTCGTTGAGTGATAATCTGCCTGACAAGAGAGGCTTTTTTTAGTCAATCGATTAGTAATTAAAAAATCTCTAAAAGCTCTTCAAAAGTACGTCAACAACAATGAATATAATCGATGAACTATATATTTTTTATTGGAAATGGAAAGAAAAAGATCATTTAAAAGAACGGAATAAACTGTACGATTTTTGTCTATTGTTTAAAACACGAGGAACATCTTGACGCTTCGAATGTCATTCAGATATCTTCGAAGTAGGGTATTTCCGAATTTTTGGGTTGGGATTTTTTTACTCGTGTGGAGTTGGCGTTGGAACCGAACGCGAGAATTGGCCAACCACATGAATGAAAAAAACCCTATCCCAAGAGCCTGAATAATCTTTTTCCGCAGTGATTTTCCACTTTTCAAATTTGGTAGTATGGGTGGAAGAAGAACTCGGTTTTCTCATCGATTACAATCATTGTTCATATTTACCATGCCCTTTCGAAGAGCCCTCCACACAGCTTCGATCTTCTTTCATAAAATTACAAATTAATTTCTCAATAAGAAAGATCTAAATAATTTATATGGAATAATCTAATACTTCTATTTTCGCGTACTGCTCAAATACTTTTTTGAAATGACAATTTGAAATGTAACTTGAGCTATTGCTTCACAAGCAAACAGCATTCAATTCTAGTATTCTTGTAATTTATATGTTTTGTTGCTCAGCAAAACTGACGCTTCCATCAGCATTTTTCGTCAATGAATCATTCAATAGAGGAAAAATGATACCAATCAACATTCAAATCGGTCGAGAGTTCTGTTCTAAAAAACGCAGATGGACGGGCTAAACTCGCAAACTATCAAAGTTGTCTTATGCGGCTAACTTGAATTCAGAACACATTTAATTTAGTTAATCTATAGTACATTTCCTCGATAGGCCGTAAAGAAAATTCTCTTCAGCTGAATGACGAACTAGTATATTTGCGGACTGTTGAGATGAGGTTTGGAGTTTGGCACACGAGTAAAAACCCTATCCCAACAGTTCGCAAATTTACTATTTTCCATCATACCTATACAAAAAGTTCGACTGTGCTCCTCAAATGACGGGAAAAAAAGTGGCCTATTCCATCCCTCGGATTGCTGTTGATTTGAAGGTATTCGGGATGACAGACCCAGCATTCCTCCTGTCATTCACGAAGAAAGATCGAACTTTTCCGTGTAGTTATGACAGAAAAAAACAATGTGCACCAGGAAAGGGAAACAGGATATTGAAACCAGCGGATTAGAATGCCCTGTTTTCCTCCCGTAGTGCACAATATACTATCGTCATTCACTCCGTAGGGAGAGTTTTTCCACGCATCCGCGATTGTGACGCATGGCCTCACGGACTGAGTGATAAAAATGTAGATTATTGTTTCAAGATGAGCTCCTCCCCAAATACAATAATTCAAGTTTTTAATTCTCTTTCAGAATCAGCACAAATTGTCATCAACAGTTCATTCTTCCGACGTGGCAACGGTCATGCGAGACCGTGCAACCGGTAAAATAGACTCCGTCGCCGCAGAACGTCTAGTTCCCGGCGACATTTTGGTGATTCCCCCTCATGGCTGCCTGATGCCCTGCGACGCAGTTCTGTTGACCGGCAACTGCATCCTGAATGAATCAATGCTGACCGGTGAGTCCGTTCCAGTAACCAAAACCCCGATTCCCTCTTCCAACGAGGTTACGTACGACACCAAAGAGCACGCCCGTCACACCCTCTTCTGCGGCACAAAGATTATTCAGACCCGATACTTCGGAGGTGAGAAAGTTCTAGCTGTCGTCGTCAGGACGGGCTTTACCACGAGCAAGGGTGGGCTAGTTCGATCGATAATGTATCCGCCGCCGGTAGATTTTAAGTTTGAACAGGACTCATACAAATTCGTGGAGCTACTTGCGTGTATTGCGAGCATTGGGGTCATCTACACGACGATAACTAAGGCGATGAGAGGAGTTGCACCAGGTCATATCGCCCTGGAGGCACTCGACCTCATCACTATCGTTGTCCCTCCAGCATTGCCCGCGGCTATGACAGTTGGTCGCCTTGTCGCTCAAAACCGCTTAGAGAAAAAGCGAATCTATTGCACAAGCCCCAGAGCGATCAATGTCTCGGGATCTATTGATTGCATTTGCTTCGATAAAACGGGAACATTGACTGAGGATGGGCTTGACATGTGGGGGGTGGTACCAGCAGTCGATAATAAGTTCCAGATTCCCACAAAAAATATAGGGAGCCTTCCCGCTAATGAAATACTCGTGGGAATGGTGACCTGTCATGGAATCACAATTATCGATGGGTCACTCGTGGGTGATCCCCTGGATCTAAAGATGTTCGAATCCACTGGGTGGAGTCTCGAGGAACCCGATGTCTCTGATAACTCCAAGTTCTCAATGATGTTTCCAACTATCGTTCGACCTCCGAAAAATTCGAAACTCTTGCAGACTCCCAACCACGACCTGGTAGTGTCTCGGGCCAGACAGAATTCCGTAACCTCTGAGGTAATAGAGAATCTTTCTCTGAATAACCTCGCGGAATCTGATGCTGACCTAGCAGAACAGGGGCTGGAGATCGGTATTGTTCGGCAATTTCCGTTTACATCGAGTCTTCAACGGATGAGCGTAATCACGAGAACATTGGGAGCGAACCACTTTGATCTTTACTGCAAAGGCAGTCCAGAAATGATCCTCAGTCTTTCGAAGCCAGAGTCAGTACCTGTAGACTTTGCTTCGGTTCTCCAGGAATACACGTCTGAGGGTTACAGGGTCATAGCATTAGGTCACAAGTCTTTGAATCGTTTGACGTACACGAAAGTCCAGAGAATTAGTCGAGAGGCTGCTGAGACTGATCTCATCTTCCTCGGATTCGTAATCCTAGAGAATCGATTGAAGCCCGAGACAACTCCTGTCATCGAGGCGCTGAACCGTGCGTGCGTCAAGATTGTAATGGTGACGGGTGACAACATGCTCACTGCGTTGTCAGTGGCTAGAGACTGCGGAATGGTCCATCCTAGGATGCCAGTGATCGCCGTGGCGGCTGTGAGCCAGCAGAACCAGCAGAAGCCTCATTTGTACTTCACGCGTAGTGATAGTCAGCAGTCTCCAATGTCCCCTAATGGCCAGAGTAGCATCAGTGAAATGACAGACTTGAATAGCATCACGTCATTTGATACAATCGAGAGTGGTTTTGTGAACAATACAGCAGACAATGGAGTGTATCTGTCGGACAAGGTTCACAGCAATAACAAATACGTCTTCTCGTTGACCGGAAAAACCTGGTCTATGATAAAACAGCATTATCCGGAGTTAATCCCGAAGATTACGACGCGCGGGAGTATCTTTGCAAGGATGTCGCCTGACCAGAAGCAGCAGTTGGTACAGGAGTTGCAATCATTGGGGTATTATGTGGCGATGGTTGGAGATGGGGCAAATGATTGTGGAGCACTCAAAGCGGCACACACTGGCATCTCTCTGTCTGATACAGAATCATCCGTGGCTTCGCCATTCACCAGTAGAGAGACTAACATTTCCTGTGTTCTATCTGTGATCCGTGAAGGCAGAGCAGCTCTCGTCACCTCTTTCGGGATCTTCAAGTACATGGCAGCCTATTCTCTTACGCAATTCATTTCCGTGATGATACTGTACAGTATTGAGTCGAATTTGACCGATATCGAATTCCTATACATCGATCTCTTCATCATCTCCATCTTTGCATTCTTCTTTGGTAGGACTGAAGCTTACGATGGACCACTGGTTAAAACAGCCCCATTAACAAGTCTCATCAGCACTTCTCCTATCCTTAGCCTCTGCTCTCAAATGATTATTGTCACCGTCTTCCAGTCCATCAGCTTTTGGCATCTTCAACAGACAGAATGGTACACTCCATTCAATGCAACTGCGACAATGGATAAGGACGACGTAGGATGCTTGGAGAATTATACGGTGTTCATCGTTAGCTCTATGCAGTATATCATCCTCGCGGTGGTCTTCTCAAAAGGTCACCCTTATCGAAAGTCTCTCTTCACGAATTATGGACTCCTTGCGTCATTCATTCTCACCGCCTTGTTCTCGGTGTACCTCGCCCTCTGGCCATTTGATTGGCTAGCCAACAAGTTTGAACTTGTTCTCCCTCGTGATATGGGCTTCAGGGTCATTCTTCTCGTCTATGGTTTCGGGAATTTCGTGATATCAATGATTGTCGAACACCTATTCGTCGACTATCTAGTCTTCAAGAAGCTCCGATATCGGTGGCACAATCTCGATAAGTCCAAACGCAAGTTTCTCGCCATCGAACGTGACATGGCAAAGAACCTAAAATGGCCGCCGGTATCACAAGAGCCGCTACCGGAAGCCGCCCCAGATATTCTCATCAGGCAAAATACTGTCACTGAAATCAAGATTGAGATGCGAATTCCAGAGGGTCGAGAGGTCGAACCGAGCTTCCTCAACTCACCCGCCTCTCTCAACTTTAAACGCTTTGGCTCTGCACGAGAGGTAACCTTAAATGCCAGGTCATTATTTAATGACCAACGGAATACTGTATCGATGCAGGCTGTTCCCATTCAATTCGAGGATCGAGAGCTGGACAATATCAGACGACCCAGGCTAGATCTTCCGTTAAAGAGACGACACAATTCCGAGTCTGAGAACGGAATAGACAGCTGTGAGGGGCACAGATTGAGACAGATAAACCCAATCGCTACTTTACCGAGAGGACAATCCAGTCAGGCGAATCACAAAGTTACGGAGTTCTCTAGGATTCATAAGAGCGAAGACCTAAGGGGTGCTACTCAGAGCGTAGTTGAGCTGGACATATTGCCCTCCTGAGAAAGAATTCTCAGAGGACGGAGGGTTGGCATGTAAGGGGGGATAGGGCTAACGGTGCTAGTTTGTTTTTAATAATGAGGGTGTTAGTGCATTTAGAAGCGATTTAAAGAGATTTATGATTTTTTTTTTCTTCGACGCAACTCGCCATTTCCAGAGAGAAATCCCTGGGTCCCTTTTGACCCTAAGCATTGTTATTAATGTAGAGTATTGAATAATCCAAATGTTCTTCATTTAAAGTATTATCATGTTCGTTAAGGGAGTATTTAAAGGAGTGGAGCGTTTAGGTTGAGTTGACTTAACCTTAAAGTTGGTTAAACCGTTGGACCACTCGGAATTAACAAAATGGAGGATTAATTTCGATAGAGATTATTAATTCTCGGCTCTCCGATGATGTATTCAGTTTCACTTAATAGAGTAATTTTAGCTTAAGTACTTATTGAAAATGTAAAATCATGTATCGAACCATTTCGATGAACCTAGGAAATTCGCTGGACTACTCCATTAGAGTTCTATTAAACTTTCTATTAATCTTTGAACGGTACAATCATAAAAAGGGCCAGAAACCATGGAAAATCGTAAAGATGGAAATATTGATCAAAAATTCTATTAAAAATATGTCAATAAAATAAGGTATATAGAAAATCGAATTCTATCGATTTTTCCTGTAGAAACTGTCAAAAAACAATAGAAAGTCAATTGACAATCTAATGGAGCTAGCTAACGAACTTGCAAAGGTTTTATACCCTTTTTTGTGTGATGAGAGAGAATTCCGTCTTTCCAACAATTTTCAGAAAGATATATTTCTTCTCATTATAAGAATTGGTGAATTGATTTGATGGCGGGCGGGTCCAAGTGCCAGGCGCATGGAAATGATTATCAAAAATTACTCTGGAGCACAACCTCTCTTTTCTTATGACATCTTCGTTAATGAACACAGCGTAAGAAACGAAAGGTTCTGATGTAATTATAATGACTTAATGAATTGACAAAAATCTATGTAAATTTTTCTTTGAGCAAGTTGGGAGTTCAAATGTGTACTTATAACGAACGTTGAAATTGAAACATACGTATGCATTGCATGAATATTAACACTCGCTCCTGTAAATGCCGAATGATTGAACAACAGAATTGATTAAATATTACGAATATAGGATAATCAGAGCGATGAAGTAAAGTATATTTGTAACGCATATAAAAACAACTGTCTTTTGATTTTTGTTACAAAGAATCTGTACTTTTTATTGAACCATTTATTTATTGATTGATTAATGGTGATTAAGGCTAATTACTTACAATGAAATAAAAATCTTTTATCATTAATTAATGGCCTAGAATTATTATGTTATCCTTGCCGACTAGAAATACAAATATTTTATATTATTTATTTCAAACCCTTGAGATTCTCTCAATTATGAGTTTTCGTTACGAATTAGGTAATCAATATTTCTAGGTTTAGTGTGGTTTTTGGAACTCTGTGAGTATTTTACTGGCAAGATTGAGCATAGCCGATGAATCGTCAAACATCATCGTTATCGCGTCAAACAAAATTAATCAACTAATTAAATTGATCTATAGACATATGAAAACATATAATGGAAAAACCTGACGATTAGAATTTTTTCTAAAAAATATCTCGGATTAAATAGTCAGGATGAGTGGTAGAATTTTTCATTGTTCTAATAGAACTACATGAATTTCTTAGAAAACCCGTTTTTCTACAACAATCTTTCATATGTGTAATATATTTCCAGGCGATACTTTAAGAAAAAAAATAAATCTCCCACATTTAAATTCACCCGTACCAAAAAAATTGGGACAGTAATTGAAAGAGGGATTTTATATTAAAAATTTCGGCATTTGATTGTCCCAAGTATATATACTTAGCTGAAATTTGCTTTTCTCACTTATATTATCACGAGAGCTTCGAAATTCTCGAATATTTCCCGATAGCTTCGGTGCAAACAGATGCACATGTCAAGTTTTTCAGGTTTAAAAATCACGAGAGCGAAGCCCGAGTTTCTGAATTTTTCTGGGAACTTTGACAAGCTTGTTTGTTCGCACGGAATCTAGAGTGAAATATACGATTGATTTTGAAGTTCAAGTCGTATGCGGGGGTTATTTTTTTCGTTAAAATTTCAGCCGATAGAATTGCACCATGAGACCATTATTATCTATATTCCAAAATTGATAAAAGATGTTTAAACTAAAAGAATAGAAGAAATATTTCACTCGATAAATCATACAATTTGATTCAATCTTTCGATTTCAATCAGTGATTAATATTATCCAACAGTTTTTCGTATATAAAGGTAAGAGACAAATTATTTGAAAAATATTGAGTTATAATACCACAAAAACTTCAAAATTATCGGATATTTCCCGGTTGGTTCGCTGTAAACAAATGAACGTGTCAAGTTTTCCAGAAATTTTTTTTCACCTTTTTAACAAGCTCGTTTGTTTGCAGGGAACCTAGATGGAAATATTCGATTAATTTCGAAGCTCGCGTGGTATTCGGGGGATTATTTTTCCCATTCAAACGGCGATCAATAGAATTGCGCCATGAGACTAAAATCAGATAAGAACACCCGAAGAAAATTGCATAGTCAAAACATGAATCCTTTAAGGTTGTTGTCGCGCAACAGTCTCTGTAAAAAGTTTATCCGCTGTAAAACGGGCCAGTTTAGAACACAACCTTTTAGCGGTATATAGTCTCACTTGATTGATTGCATTGTGCATGGATAGCTAAAGCATAACTATATATTTTCCATATTAACTATTTTCAATTATATAAATTTATGAATTTCCGATAATTATATTCCGTAAACCAAACGGTCAATCGTTTTGATTTTTTTTTCTGTATTTCCTCCCACGATGTATTCCACGTTTTTTTTTATTTCTCAACTTATCGAGCCGTTGATTTTTAAAAAATTCTAATCGGCAAAACTCCATTTAAACACGTGTTAAATCACTCGAATTTCAAAAATTTATATCTCAAGTTCAAAACGGTCAATTGCAAACGGAAAAGGCTCATTTCGTTGCTAATTTTTCAAACTATTCACCATAAAATTTTTAACGAAAACGAAAAAAAAATTCTACGCGACAACAACCTTAATCAATCCACAACCTAATTATAACTCTCAGTTTGACAGGTGGTTAACGTGAATAAATGATGTTTTATTTTCTATAAATACATTAACATGCAAAATTATGAAAAAATGATCAGTTTGAAACCGTGTAGCTTGTACCACGTGATGTTGAATGGCGGAATTCTATTGGTCGACGGTTGAATGGGAAAAATATTCAGTATAATTCGAGTGGCGTCGAATGGTGCAATTCTATTGACGGAAATTGGGACGGAAAAAATAATCAGTAAAATGATATTTTTTCTATTCTCAATCCATAAATCCCAGATATTGCAAAATAATCCACAACTATTTCTCGCCACTGGTGTTCTCCGATGGCACACATATTAAATTCTCTAAGTTCATCTCAATAATAAAAACATGGAGATGAAAAATGCGAAGGGAGATTGCAATCCCCATTGATCTCCTATGACTAGTAATAAAAATCATCCCATTTGGCGCTAGCTAATAATAATATGTAAAAATGGCGGTATCTTCTTTGGTCGTCATGAAAAATAAGAAGAAATGAAGGAATGCAGAATGGTGTTGCATCAATGTCTTCAATTGAATCCATTGAAATAATGTGAGCACTGTCTCGCTTCACCGTTGATTGGTATAAATGAGATCATTACCACGGAACATAGCCTCGAGAGTGGATTTCTTGTTGTATTCAATGCCACGGGACTCAACCATTTCCACAAATTTTTGGTATCTCTTCCAAGCTGTTATCGTTGCCACATCCTCTTCCGGTCCTATTCTCGTTTTATCCTCTACGTCCTGGCCCGTCAGCGTCGACTCCGTCGCCTGACTCGCGTTTTGCAGCTCTGGTATCATCTGATGGTAAATTTTTATCAATCATCCACGAGAAATAGCATTTTTAATTGATTTGTGGAGAGGATAATTGATTGGTGGAATGGGGTGAATTGGGCTCTCAGGGTCTTGAGCTTATGTTTGCAGGAAGTATTGTACACGTTTCATGTAACAACTCCCACCCTCAGGAAATCAATACTCATGCGGTTATTTCCAAGGATTCAGTTCCCGCCAATAAAATCACATTCATTTCGAGGGATTTTTTTCATTACCTACTGAAAATTTTATCGTTGAAACTTTTCTGGTGCATACAGAATTGTGCATTTTTATTGTTATGAATTGTTGAAATTTCTGTCATATAAATTGAAAAAATTGACCCTCTTCATTGCCATAATTCCACCTGGATTTATTCAATTCAAGGGGCTTTGTGGTTACAACAATATTCTAATAAATTATTGAAGGCCAAGATGAAAGAAGACAAATTGTAAAAACTCTTGAGAGGTTTCCCCAGTACCGAGAATTTTCATATTAGTTATCAAGTGTAAAAAATAAAAACAATTGCTAACGAAAATCAAAGGAGAAAACCATAATTTTTCAGTCAGAAAATATTATTCCAGGCAATTAAATACCCCATAAGAGTCAACAGTTGCATCTATCTTTATTAAACTATTGAACTATCCATCGTAAACCTTGCACCAACAAAAATAACGATAAATAATCCCAATCGCAACTATTCCAAAAAAAGAAAGAATAACACAAAAATAAAAAATGAAAAAAAAAAAATTTGAACCAGAAAAAAATACATGATTTTAAAAAAGCCGACAGTATATGAAATAGAAAAATATATTTAAAATCGAGTATTTCCCTGTTCTTCCCAGAAACCCATGAATTTCTAACCCACTGTCACTCATCATTATGAATTTTGTACACTTACCTTTGGGTAATTTAATTTTCGGCAAATTTTGTTGAAGTGGGTAAAAAGGCCAATGACAGATGCGAAAATTTTGATTAATCTGGTGAGAGGAGTGGACGAGTACTGTTGAGCTCTGAGCTTGGGAGTAACTAACCGGGCTAACTCGACGTAAGGGACGCCGAGGCTTACAACATCAGCTGTGTTCGTTTCGCCGACGCCCCCCCCCCCTCCCCCTCCC